CTCGTGCATCACACTAAAAGATATTTTGATAAATTTTGATATATACAATGTTAACGAAATAATAAAATAACATATGCAAAAATAAAAGAAGCATGAGATCTTTCTTATTTAAAAAACACTTCAAAACCACCGCAGCAAGATTGCGCAACCTCTCTAGCGTTACTGACGATTAATTAACGAGTAACATTAATCCTCGTTTCAACACATTAATCCCTGTTTCACCGTGGATTTATCATGTTAACGCGAATCAGGTTGGTGTAAATTAACGACACAAGATGCGGAAGTGGTGGGTATAATGACGATAACTTCCGTTTCGTCGAGATGCTCTGAAGGCTTTGAACTACAACTTTCCGGCAATAACTTGTGACTTATCGCAGGCAAGTTATATTCAGTAGCAGCAGCAGCAGCAGCAGCAGCAGCAGCAGCAGCTTTATTCACGATCCACGCCAGCTCGTCGAGAAAACGCGACATGCCCTTATTATTCGGGACGAGATCAAAAGTGCGCACGCATTGTTTATCGCGGAAAGCGACGTGGCTTTAGTGATTCACAATGAAACGGTGCTTTGTGAAAAGTTTCCGTCGCGTCCACGACGGCAAATATTTTGACATCGTAAATGCATGCAGGGGGGTTTTTGTTACACGGCGAACAGAGGCTTCATTAAGTTTGAAAGTGGATCCTTTCTAAGCAACTAAACGGAAAGTACGGATAAGCACATGGTATGTGACAAAAACAAGGTGGTGGCATTGCGAGCAACAAGAAGGAAACGGACTGTCAAATGCGCCTTTATCCGCAGCGAGAAGGAATTCAACAATATTTAGTACCTTAGAAAATTAATTTTCACGACGCTTGGACAGGTTCGCGATGGTTCCTCGATTTACTGCAATGAAAAGTTATCTCCGCCGTGCAATGTAACCCCAGTTCTGCAGTAATTATAATTTATTTGCGGCGCTAACGGCGACGACGACGCGCGGAGTTCTACTGACGCCATCGAGTTTATGACGCAGTTCATATCGCGCGACGATTCGATTATAAGAATATTCTATAACACTATTACCTATCTCTCCTTCCAGATTTTTTCCTTCGTGCTCTTTGTTGAAATAATTGAAAATCACCTTAACCCTCCCTGGGAATATTTCTCTTTGAATATTCCGTGTATATATTATCACATTTTTCTTTGTGTCAGATTCCAATCTCTGAATATTCAAACGAATCCGTGCAAGTGAATAAAACGAGAAGCGATTTTAAATTAAGAATCTCTTCGAAAAATTCATAGGGGACAAAAATATTCAAAAGATTCCTAAAAAAAAATGTAAGAAACATTGTTGAGAGAACACCTATCGAATGGAGCAATTAGGATTCACTGATACAATTATTAAATAAACATTCATAATTCAATAACTATAAATTCTATTGTTATAAAGTTGTTGTATTACGCGCGCTTACTCGATACTCTCAATTGCCTCATTTAATGTCATCAGGCGCGATGGAAGCTAACTAACAGATGAGATTAATTAATTAGGCTTAGACAATAATAATAATACTATTGTATACTGTATCATACAATTTTCAGTCAATTAACAATATTATTGTTCTATTATATTCGCGCTCAATTGCAAATACTTTCACGTCTTGTATATCGATATAACAAAATGTAAACATGTCCATTCGAGTCCGTGTAAACATGAGCGCGAATTAATATCGCTCATATATGATGGATGGCTAAATCGCAGAATTAATACAGAAATTAATGTGCATGTTAAATTGCGAACAAACTTCCGAGAACCGCAGAGCCCGCGCGTTTGAAGCATTATAATCTAATCGGTAGGGACATCCGAAAGAGTTGCACGTAATCGCCAATCGAGTTTCTCGCACATTTATCTGTATTTATCGAAACCGCATTGACGTACGTTCGACACAGCTTTGTCATCATTACATTCACTTATATCTGAGTAGATATTTCTGCAATCTAAATTCGAATTTATAACGTATACATTTGGTGTTCATAGAAAATAGGTATCAAATAATGGATGAGATGTAATCAGAAAAAAAATTTTTTTTTTATGTGAATTTCTCTAGAAAACGACTACGATCATTGCATTCGCATCACCGATTTCACATAATCAAATCGTATCATCCACGTTTTTAAATTCGCTATAGCAAACAACATTCCGTGAATCGACAAACGAAAAGCAATAAAACGAACAACCATGCAATATGAAAAATCCATTTAGCCGGAGGAACTTTTATTATTTCTCGTTAACACAGAAAATTCGCACATAAATTGCGCTAGTTTATATTTACGACAAATTAAATTTTAACCGGAAAAACGTAATTCCGTCAATTTTTTACAAGGATATGTCTCTCATTAATGTATCTCAGTTAAATGTGATCACGTGTCAATGTTACGCATAAAAGTAACGCATGTTTTCAGACTCCGTGTGCTTCCTCTTTGCCCATCTCGCTAACAACACAGAAACGAGGCCAAAATTGTTAGTCTCGAGGGCACATACGTACACATCGGTAACTTTACGGAAAAGGGGCAAACAAAGCAACGGACGGCGGGTGAAGCGGAGGCTCATAATTAGGTTGTTAGCTAATGGGGAACACCGCGAGCAAATAAGTGCGCGACACTACGCACAAATTGGCGTAAGGCACTCACGTGCCTTCTCGAACAGGAAACGCCATTTCTATTACACGTGTGCGTAGCGAGAGGTGTGGTGCGGAATTTTTTCGGGCAAGAGCGATTGGGTCGAATTGCTACTCTGTTGTCAATATTGTGGAGTCGCGTTGAATGAACGTCAAACCAAATTGACAAAATCATTCAGTTCGCTCTATTGTCGAGAAGAAAAAATATTTTTCTTTATTAACGTGACTATAAGATAAAAGTATAACATCAACTACCTAATCTTTTTGTATAGATGTAATTTCTTGTATCGTTTGCATGAAAAAAGTTATACTTTAGCGTCTGTCTAGACATTGTACAACTGCACTCGCACTGCAAAAGTATATTGATATCTTCAACTTTAATATTATATTTAAAAAATATAAATTGTAATCCAAAACTCGTGAAGAGAAATGTAAACTTGATTATTTAATTAAATAAGACGCTAATAAACTTTATTCCTTTTTTTGTCAGCCATTTTATAACATTTACACTATACCATAACACAGTCGACTCATTATGTACGTTTAATTAATATAACTTATATAATTTTTGCATAAGATATCTGTTAAGAAAGAAGTGTGTCTTGAGTGATATAAAAAGTTATTAATTTATTGTGATTTAAAGAGTAAGATAATAATCACACAGCGTAAGAGAATTTAAAAAAAATGTTCCAAAGTAATATTATTTATTAACGTGAATATTATCAGATTTTTCACTCACGAAGCAAGGTTCAAAGAGATCTTAAGCTCCGTCAGGTACCTACTTATATTAAGATTCGTTATATTGAACACGTCCGTATACAATTTTCACTTTATCTCGCTCTAAACTCATCTAGCCGTTTGCCCGCGTATTTAAGTGTAAAAAGTAAGAAGAATGAAGTGAAAAGGATAGCAACAAAGTTAACTTTCAAAAGCGTTCTCATTAAATAATAAAAAATATTAGTAAATAAAGCCATATATTTTTCAATAGATTAAAAAAGAATTTAATTTATTGCTATCCGCTTACTTAAAAAACACATTACTGTCCCTAATATTAAATATGCATCGTCAGTATAAATGTAAAATAAACATAATTAAAATAATGAAAATAGTAAATAGAGTAATTTTGATTTTTTAATTTTAAGTTTTTTTTTCATTTTCAATATCTACAAATAAAACAAAATGTTTTAAAAAAAGTTACACTGGAGAGATGATATTTTTCATGATTATTTCATAATTATGCATATTTAAATAATAAAAAATACACTTTTATTAAGGTCACAGATCAAAAGATATGAATGTTGACGAACAAAAAACAGTACGCTTCAACTTTCTCTCGCTTGCTCGTCTCTGGGAACATGAAAATACAAATAGCGCGTCTGTAATATTTTCACACAAGTCCGCATTTTAATATGTCGAACGCATGTGCAGATATGAAATGTTGTAAAAACAAGCTGAAAAAAAGAGAGAGAAAGAGAATATAACCGTTACTATTAGCAAGAATTTCCATTTGTTCTCTCTGGTGTACACCTGTCTCATCGAGCATCGCCAATCAGTCGTGCAAAACAATCCGAAAAACAATCAAACGGTGGAAATTGAAATTTTCGATTGATAGCCCTCTCAGTTCACAGCTCCATTTCTGATGGCGTCTGCTATTAATTTATCGTTATGCACACGATTCATTAGATTTAACTTGAAACCATAAGCTATTCAGGATATCAGCATCGAAAATAATAAAAAAATAGCACGTACTCCAGAGAACAATTATATGCAATTTAAACAAAACCGCTATTAATATCCAATTAAATATAATCTGAATAAATTATAAACATAACGTTCGCGTATTTGGCAGCCTAAATTAATGCGAGAAGAAACAATTTTTTGTAATAAAAAATACAAAGGGAGATTACGGAATCTATAATCTTTTTATAATAGTTTCCATGAATTATCATTAAAAGAAAATTTATGCAATTTTATATGGGAGGCATAAAGCACTTATTGCTTTAATTTTTGTATATTTAAAAATATGTAAAAATTTTAAAATAATATATAAAATGAAATAAGATACGGCATTAGTATATATGATTGACACGTGTGCACATTAATCATATATATTTTATTTTGTAGAATAAATATATAGCCAATACGATTTATTTTATTTTATATAATTGTGTGGGTGGCGAGAGAGAAGAGGGTAAGACGTGTCCCAGATACCGCAGGATCAGCACGAAATTTGTAATTAATTTTCGCTCGCGGGGAGCGCGAAGGTAGCTTCCCCGGAATGTGCCGCGACCTCCGCGAACGCCACCACCCTCTTCGCTCCCTTGACATTGGCGGGACTGGTGGCTAAGCTTACCTGCTGCATCGGATACGCCGCGCTACCGACGAGAAGGTCCCATGCCCACGCGAAGATCCGCGCGCAAATGTGCATTGACGTCACCGCCACCTTATAGAGCCCACTGCAGCCGGTACCGGCGGCACTCCCGCTCGCACCCTCCGCCCCCGCGATTATGACGGCCTCGTGGACGCGCCGCGGACGACACTTGCAGCCCCACCGGAAGACGGAGACTCACCTCGCATTTTCGCGAACGATCGCGCACACACACACACACACAAACACACACTTTTCCGTCTCTCCCGCGCGCGCGACACCTTGACACGATCCGAGATTATATTGATCACGCCGATCCGATGTTGATCATGACGAGCGGACGCGGCGCGGACCGCGGGACGCGTTCTCGGACTCGGACGAGATCGGGTCCTTGCTGGGCATGACGCGATCGGTAAGAACGACCGCCGACAGTGCGATCTTCGGCGTCCTCCGAAAGTCTGTTATGTACTCGATCACGACGATCGTCCGATTGCACACGGCACCGATCCCGCGGGCACTGTGCTCCTCGCGACAACGTTCCGACGATGCTCCGACGATGTTCAATCACTGCCGTGAAAACAACTGCAGACAGCTGCGTCGGTCAGGTGGCGTCGCGATAATCGCCGCCGTTTACTCCGCACGACTTCAGGCGCGCAGGGCGCTTAATTCGCGAGACGATGAGGCGTGCCAAAAATGCGCTCGTTTTACCCAATTCAGATCCTCGGGATCGACGGCGTGTCCACGAGCCGGCTTATTTCCTCCGGCTTTTCGCGTCGCGAGATCGAAAAAAAGTCTCTTCCTCTCTCTCTCTCTCTAACACACACCGTGGTGTTTAACAACATAAATGCGGCGTGCGATTCGAACGCGAGTGACGACGGCCCACGCGCGCGTCACGGACGCGGTCACTCTCACGCGGAACGTTTCGCTTCGTCCGACAACGGGAGGAAGAGCGGTGTATCACTGTAGTCATTTACACGATATAGGGGCACACGCCTCTCACCCACCCCGGCACGAGGACGTCGTCTCGTCCGCGCAAACACGGCGCGCGAATAACGAACTACTTGTTGATCAGCGCCCCCGAGGGCCCCGAGACACTAACTGCCTGCGCACGATCCGCGCTTCGCTTCCGTGAAGTTGGCGCCAACTCGCGACACGCGCTGACCACCCAGATCACGCGTTAACAATCAACTGTCACGGCTGTCCGTTGATTCGTATTGTCGTACGGCAGAGCGATCCCCGCGGTGCTCCCACGCGTCGGTACGAGCACCTGCACCGGCAGTTGCTATCATGATAAGAATATTTTACTCGTCGAAGGGCCGCGTATCGACAGAATAGCGCTGCACAAATAGCCGCACGATGGGCGACTGCAGGGAGAATCGAAACGAAACTCGGCGAGATCGAGAACGGCTGAGAAACTGCATTACAATGACCGAAATAACAGAGAGTTATATATATATATACGTGAAGAGAATCGGCCGTAGCCGACTCCAGGTTTTTGGAGCACGGTCAACCGTTGAATGCTGATCAACGAAAGTCGCGTGTCACGTTTCGGCCGCGATATACGTGATTGCCCGATTGTTCGATTGCGCGAGAGGACGGTGTATCTGATCGTGCCTCTCCGCTGCCCACGCTGATAATTAATGACGTGTATACGTGCGAAGGTCCAAATAAGAGCCCTCGATGAACCGATCGCACGGCGCGCGATTCGACGGACGGCGAAAAATTCGGGTGGAAACGCAATTTTCACGACGCGACGCGCGCGCGTTTCCCTCCCCCCCGGCTCTCGTTTTCGACTCCCTCGGACTCCGCGATCCGCACAGATGCCACCGCGACGCGCTCCGACGAGAGACCGAGCGATACTGTGGAGCGTGGAATCGCGCGCGCGTGCCTAGACAGACGCACACCGGGTCCGCGTATCGCGACGGCACACCGCGCGTGGGTGCCGGCGTATATAAAATATTTGAATCACGTCGAATCTAATGTGAATATACGTATGTAAATATAGCAGAACAGAAATATGTATATATATATAGAGAGAGAGAGAGAGGCAAAAATATTCCAACTAATTATGCGTAAACGCAACGATTTAATTTCGTGATTATTATCTGCCCGTTGAGTTGCAGCGTTATCAAAACAGCTTCCGATTTAATTTCTCCCCCCTCCCCAGGTGAAAATTTTCTTTTAATTGATATCTCTACAATTTTATATGCACGCATTAATTTCCAAATGGTCGCGTACATGTATATTACATGAAGTTTGATTGCCGCACTGAATTAAAACTTTCTCGCTTTCGTCAAACATCAAACGTACATCTGTTTGTTATCTGCTTCCGCGTTGAATTGCAATACATCTCGCCGTTTTCGATTTAATTTTTCCTTCACGTGAAAATTTTCTTTAATGTTTCTATAATCTTATACAGGCATTTTTCCAAACAGTCACGTACATATTACATAAAAAGTTCGTTTTTTTTTATCGCTGTTAGAACTTGTACTTTCTCGCTTTATTCATCCAAATATCAAACCTGCGTTATTTCACTGCGTACAAAGAGTGTACATCAAGTTCAACTATAAAAAATATTTAAAAAAAAACGTACCTATAATCTCGAGCTATTTAAGGTTTAAAGAAGATTGTTACAAAAAAGGTCTGTTTCTCCTGTGCTCGGAAAAAAATAAAATATACATTATTTCCTATATTTCTTGAGATGAGAAATCCTATGATGTTAATTAAAATTACGTCACATGAAGGGAATACATGGAAAATTAAATTGAAGTCGGGAAAACGCGTGGCGAGTCGCAGTCATTTGCGAGACAGGTTGTTAAGCACATATATATCGTACAATATACGATATTGTACATCATGATTAAAAAATTTAGAATATTTTATAAAATGCTATACTTATACATATTATTAATAACGAAAACACCAAGGCGCAATGTTTTCCTGTACCTGCACAAAAACGTGTCTAGTCAGGCGGTCCGCTGGGTAAGGGAAGCCGACTCGACATGTTAATGCAAGTACATGTAAACATATCGTTGCGTTTGATGTTTTCACAAAAATATTAGCATTTTTACAAGATATTCTACATTTTTAATATCAATTAATATAATGCATTATATTATGTAATGTATCATCGATACATGTAGCGTATTGCGATTTGTCTCGCAAATGACCGGCGACACACCATACGTTTATAATTCCCTGATATGTAAACTCAATTTTTTATGTGTTTCCGTCATGTGACATAATTTTAAGTGCTTTCTCGCCTTAAAAATTAGGAAATGATGTCCACTTTATTGTTTTCAAGCAAAAACAATTAATGCTTTTTGTAACACTCTTCTTCCCAAGTTAAACACCGAATATTAATTACCAATATAACATAGAAACGTGTTTTATATTATATATATATGTTATAGCAGTTATATCTACGTTTATGTATCTAAGTTCTTAATTTATTTACGTGGAATGATTATTTATTTGCATGTGAGAAGTATAACTTTAGACTGTCAAGATGACGGAAACAGTTCGAGTCACTCTTGAAACATTTCAAAAACATGAGAGTATCGATTGAGACTATAATTTGCATCAAAATGCTTATTATAAGTAACAAAACAAATAATATTAAAGAAGTAGGTTAATTAAGAGATCACATTGCAATTAATAGATTTAATTATAAATTTTATAAAAGCAACTAATTTTACTTATTGTTATAAAGCTTAGTATCTGTTTTATAATTAGTTATCATTAATTAAAAACGGTATAATTACATATCTTTCTCATTTGTTATTAAAACCTAACTTATTGCGATGTAAAACGATCAGATAACTGTGGTATGTATATGATTTCAGAAGTAGTTTATTCTCATAACATAAATGTATATACATATTATGAATATGTATAAATTTTTCTTTCTATATTAATAAATTAAAGGACCGACTAAATTAACTGCCAAATTGCTCAGTAAGTTGTATAGTCAAGTATGTATACAAATGTGCATTTAATACACTATAATGATCGATCTTTGCAACTATAAAAAATGTTTTTCTTTTCCTCTGCTGTTTTTTTTTTTTATTTTCAACTGTTTATTCGCAATTAAAAAACAGGCCTCTCATAATTCTCCCTAGTTAACCTTGTAACTGAAAACTGAGAATTTTTTACTACGATAATATAAACGAGATGATATAATATAAACAATTTGCTTTGTTTGTGCAGAATATAAGAAAGTTAGTATCGCTTGTACAATATTAACGTTCAGTAACAGATGAAAAAGAAAACTAATTAAATATATGCATTAGCAACAATTAAAATGATGAATATAACGATTGAATAATATATAACGAAGTCCATATAATTATTTTCTTCTGATTAAAAATACTCTACTGAAATCAGTTATATAATAATTGAAAAAATATATAAACAGCCGCGAAGAGAGTTATAATTTAAAAAATAGGGTAGTGTTTCGTCTATATAACATTTGCAGAATACGCGATCTCTGAATAATTAAATTAAAATCATCAGAAGCAAAACTCAAAGTGGCCTTCACACTTGCACTTTATGCACGTATATATATAAATGTATATTAATTAATGCGCGTATTAACCCAGCAAACACCAAGTTACATGTAACGTACTTATTGTTAGATGTAATTTCCCACTCAACAATATAACTATGTTATAACACATGATGTTATATATCATATAGTTACATTGGAGTGGGAAATTTACAACTAACATAAGTACATACGTTACATATGTAACTTGGTGTTCGCTGGGAAATTAATTGACGGTGTAATTACGTCAATGAATGTATATTGCTTCATTATCTTTTTAAATAATTAAATTGTATACGCAATAATATATAATCAAATCTTTAATTGTTACGTTTTGAATATAGTAATTCTGTATCTAACTTATCAAATGTCGATTAAATTATTTTGCTGGACAATCGATACATGCGTATCGGTATAACATGTCTGTACTTTCTGTTGATAACACGTCGCGAAATGTGATTTTACCAAATTTCGGTTATTGAGATTAACGGATATATTCGAGACTTGGTTGATTCGCGATCGACGAGAGTTAACTCTCTCTTTGATTTTATTTGAAAAGGTGGGAAAGGAATTTTCAATCTGAATGCAATATTGAGAGGAAAAGCATTACATAAATAATACTGCTACCATGTATCCTGTAATGAGTGTAACACGAACTGCCTCCGAAATCTCCGTCCGGAATCAACAGGACGCAGGACGGTGCAGATGAGTGCAGACGAGGCGTATCCGCGAAAGGAGGTTATGCTCGCGCTTAGATGTCGCGCGCATTCGAAATGTGAGCAGGCGAGGCGCGCGCGAGGCAAATCCGGAAAGTAACGTATCGTCGCCGACTCCGCTTTCGTCCCAGCAACATTACACCGAGCATTTCATCGGGCTTGGCTGGCAGCGTGATGGATTGAGGATTGGCCGATCGTGCAGGAGACACGCGGAAACGCTGCGAAAAGTTGTGTGCGTGTTATCGAATTCGAAATACTTGTGCTTCGAAAGTGATCGTCGATCTGCGTGGAGCGAGAGAGAGACAGAGAGAGGGAAAGTGAGGTTAGGTTAAAAAAGTTTCCATGCTTGTCAACATCTGAATTAGACAAAACGGTGAGAAACGCAGAGGATACTGATCGCAGACGTTGCGAACAGATTGTGCAGATTGTGATCACGACATATCGCCGCCCTCCCCCCCCCCTCCCTCCCCGCGCAAGGAATTGAATCTGCGAAGCGAACAACCAGGGCCGCGACATGAGCACACAGCAGAGCCCGGCCGCCCTGCAGTCCACCGTCGACCGCGAGAAGGTATACACGTGGATAATCGAGCTGTCGAATCCGGAGACGAGGGAGAACGCTCTGCTGGAGTTGAGCAAGAAGCGCGAGGTAGTGCCCGACCTGGCACCCATGCTGTGGCACTCGTTCGGCACTACGGCATCCCTCCTGCAGGAGATCATTAACATCTATCCGGCGATCAATCCCGCGACCCTCACCGCTTATCAGAGCAACCGGGTGTGCAACGCCCTGGCGCTGCTGCAATGCGTGGCCAGTCATCCGGAAACGAGATCTGCGTTTCTGCAGGTGGGTCTTAATTGAAACATTGACATTAAATGTATAATTAATGTTTGACTAGCTGTGTCTTATGTGTCTCTCGCGCGCAAAGAAGTCTCGTTCAACAAATCTGTATATGTGGCTATAAATGTATCTGTAACATCTCGCATTAACACATCGCATTCGCTTTCAGGCACACGTCCCACTATTTCTGTATCCATTTCTGCACACCGTAAGCAAAACGCGACCATTCGAGTATCTTCGCCTGACGAGTCTCGGCGTGATTGGCGCACTGGTGAAAACCGACGAGCAGGAAGTGATAACCTTCCTTCTCACCACCGAGATCATTCCGCTCTGTCTGCGAATCATGGAGAGCGGCTCGGAATTGAGCAAGACCGTGGCGACATTCATATTGCAGAAGATACTGCTTGACGACAGCGGCCTGTCGTACATCTGCCAGACCTACGATAGATTCAGTCACGTTGCCATGATATTAGGAAAAATGGTTCTATCCCTAGCCAAAGATCCCTCTGCGAGACTGCTCAAGCATGTGGTGCGGTGTTATCTAAGACTTTCTGACAATCCAAGGTGAGTGTTGAAATATGCGTGTAATATGTCCTTAAAAAAATCTCGTGAAACTTCAATGTGCGGATCAATTTTGCAGAGCATTGTTAGCCCTGAGACAGTGCTTGCCGGATCAGCTGAGGGACAACACTTTTGCGACGTGTTTGCAAGAAGACGCCTCAACCAAGCATTGGTTGAACTTGCTTCTCAAGAATCTGGAAGCTGGTCCGCAACAAGGTCCGCCGACTCAGCCAGGTCAACAAGATCCCCGGTCGATCGGTATGTCGCCGCTCACTTCTTAAATTAGATTCCCTTCTCTGATGATTATATGATACTCGGCACACAAGAACGGACTTCAGACGCTTCTACCCGTAAGTGATTCTATATCCTTTTTTACGAAACGGTGCATGATACGACGGCCATGCCATCTGCATTTTATTACAGGTAGTTTATGAATTGTGCTGTGAAAAACTAGTAAATAAGTGTATCGTCGGATTGGCAATTAATCAAGTACTTTATGTTCGTTGTAAATATGTGTAAAAAAAAATGCTTGGGCGAAATCTACCAATTATAATTCGGTTCGATTTTAATGGACGTTCAATTTTGAAACTCTAAGGCTACCGACTAACAGCTTTAACAAATCAAAAAAGTTTTATACGAACGAAGGTATTATGATACATATAGAGTTTTAGTGCTAGATATGTGACATACGTAATATATGAGGATTATATATGAAATATGCAAGTGTGATTACCTATCAGGATAGATCGACTTTATTAATGTATATTAATCATTATATTTTACGCTCTGGCGCCGAATATTTTGGTAGATTTTACAATATAGATAGATGCGTTTATCCATTGCCTAAAAATTTATGCCACGAGAAGCAGTATTCGATCGCGCAAAGATCATTTCTTCAACGTATACACGAGTAAACATGCAAATATATTAGACTAACGTTCGTTCTCTTTGTACATTTACTGTCGGCCTAATTAAATCTTGTTAAATTAGGCGGTATACAATGTATAGCGTATGAAATTGAGTCGGCAACTTTGAATCACTGCCTGAATTTAAATAGTGGGTTTTACATAAGATTAATTTGCGCGCGCGTAACGAGTTTTATTCGAATTTAGTCCCGCCTTATATTGCGATTGATCGATGACGGTGCACTGTGAGGTTTAAGTCATTAAACCAATGCGACGTAATATACAACGGCATCATCTGTGTCGTCAGACGATTGCGAGTCGTAGTTTGTAATATAATTTTATGAGATATCGGGACTAAGTCGAATACACAAATTTGACATGTATGATTGTACACATTTTTACCCGGCTGAACTGCAAATTGTGAGAACAGAGAGATAACGGCTAACATTTTGAAGAAGTTTGCGTCGTTATATCGTTCATATCGTTCGACACTTTCGTAAGTTCAGCCTCGTTCTGTAAAAAGAGAGGAAAAAGGAAAAAAACAAGGTTACATATTAGTGATAAGAAAAACAAGATTATATATTAGTGATGAGGTTTCTTCTGATTGAGGATCGCAGAAATTATTACGTACCACTTTCTGAGGATCACTCGAACGTAGAAGACCGTGTATAATGGGTGTAAATAATCTCTTGTCTGCGCGACTGTACTTAGACGGACCCGTGAACCACGAGACCAGCAGACCCACTAGAATTGTAATTAGAAAACCCACCCACGTGTACCAGAGATAAGACATTCTGTACAGGAAGAAAGGTTGTTCCCTGAGGAAAAAAATTAAGACGTTTTAAATACGATACGGGAGATGTCATTACGCGGTTGCATTCCCATTGCATGTACGAGGGCAGTTTGATAAAAATATACCTGACAGCGGTCTCGATGATCGTCGTGAGGTTTCCGGCGGTGCTCCTCAACGACTCGGTGCATCCATCCACCGACACCGGTTTCACCGGGAAATAAATCGACCCGTTGGAGATCGCCGCCTGCGTGCCGAACGAGATCCAAGCGACCAAGTTCACACCAACCAGCGCACCGACGAATGCTCCCTGTTCGGGTAAAAAGCTAGAGATAAGATGATCCCATGGCGAACGTAGGATTTCTTAGGATCGGCTTGATTTTAATGACAGACTCCACGACTCGCTGATGTCGTAAATCTGTCATTGAAATTAAACATCGGGAATCCTGGGATAATATGATCCTGACTGATATTAAATTAAGAGTTAAATCCATGTAAATAAACATATCTTGGAGACATAAGATGTTAGGTGATAATGCAGATATCGTTTAGACGTGTAAGCGGTAGAAAGTTGAAGCTATGTCCTGTCAATGAAATAAATTTGAAAGCGATGTACTTCTACTGGTTCTTCAACGATCATCCTCTTACCATGGAGTTGGCCATTGGGAACAGCATGCCCAACGTGAACATTCCGAGTAAGGGCCCGGCGGTTATTCCCGATAAGCTTTTACCAGCCTGAAAGGAGGATCAGCATCTCTCGATTAATTGCGTAGATTAATCGGAAGTTGAATCATTTTACACAAAAGATCCGGTATTTTATTACACGAACGTTCGCGTGTGTGATTACGCGTTTGTATCTCTATACCTGAATCAAACCGCTCAGTTTCTCCACCATGAATACGAGGCCCACGCAAATGGCTCCTATTATTACAACCGTGGCTTTCATTATGCGGCTCGCGCCGACGTTGGAGATCGGCTTACGGAGACACGGCTTGATCATGTCTTCATAGATCACGCCCGACATGGAATTCAATCCGGTCGACATTGTGCTAAAGGCCAACGAGCGAGCGTTTTACACAGCCGTAAAAGGGGAAGATGAGCGATATTGAGCGTTATACAGCGAGATTCTCTTTCATCTCGTTATCTCGGTATATATCATTAAATGGTTTAAAATTCGGCAAAGAATTTGCACGCGCAAAGAAAGTGATATTGATTCTATATATTTTTATTATTTTAATTCAAAAAGCCATTTAGAGCTCATCTAAATTACGTGTAGTACCTCAATGCCGCGCTGAATACACCGGAAACGAATAATCCTGGTAACCCTGGTATCGCCTCTGATAATTCCATCACGAAATATGGTAACAGCTGATCGGGCTTTCGTATTTGCTAAAATGCAATTTTTTATTAGCATTCGTCGAAGCGCGCGTTTAAGATTTCGCGTATATAATTATGTTAATGCAATCCACGTTGATCACATTATTGCCATTCGTTTGCCTTCGAAATTTATTTATTAAGAGTCCGGAATTTTATTCGATGATTTCCATTTTACGAATTGCTTAACGCCGCGATCATATTATATACCTTCGTCGTGACCGGGTCGCAGTCATAAAAGGCCGCGTAGATGACGATTCCCGTATAGCAACATAACGAGACAATGCTGACTATGCCTATGGCCATTATCATAATCGCCCTAGACACAAAAGGGGATTAAATGAGTGACGTGCGCCGTCATGCATCGTGATGCATTTCTCGGACTTACACATTGGACTTCCTCAAGTTTGGCATTGCCAGGCATCGCTGCATCATCGCTTGGTTCACCGAGCACGTGGCCAGCCAATTTAAATAATTGCCAACCACCACGCCCCAGAAAGTGTGCCTTGTCGTAGGATCCAGATCCATGCTAATTGAAGCAGGAAAAGGATATCATTCATTGGTCGATAGTTTGCGGTAACTTGATAGATCGGTAAAATTAAGATTAAGCGTTGCGCGATTATAATAGAAATTAGATAAATTGTGTACATGATAACGATAAATTGAAGCAATTATAATAAAAGGGTACGAAAAAATTGCTACTTGAAGAACTCGATCCTTCCGGTATCGGTGTTCCTTCTCCACACCTCCGCCACACCGCCGACCCTGGCGGTGCCGAGGATGACAACCGTGATGACGGCACCGAACATCATCGCCGTCTGAATAGTATCTGTCCAGACGACCGCCTTCAAACCACCCTGTAAAATCGTATATATATTCTATTAATATTAATTAATTTATTGTAACATTATATCATCTCTTTGGCGCTATGCTATCTCTTTTACTGACTGAAAGTCAGCTGCTGGTTGAAAGTATTTTCTATCTCACATTTAGAGTTGAGAATAGTTATTTTAATTTTTAATCGATAATTGTCCCTTTTGCTATAAAATAAATAAAATAATCCTCTGGAATATACTATATTGCGTTCATCAAGCTTAGAAATTCAAAATATCTCTGATGCGTGAAATCAATTCTTGGATCTACGAGCGATGTTCTTACCAACGTCGTATAGAAGATGCACACGGCGCAGACCACTAACGCGATCGTGTAGAGATCCATTCCGGTCGCCTGGTTGAAGGCTAGCGCCGGTACATATATCACCATTGGTATGTAAAGCAGCTGCAAGCGCAAGATTGCTCGGCGTGTTAAATTGCTCGCGAAATCGATCAAGTTCAACACTTCGAGGAATTCTCGATATGAAATATTTATTATAACATATGCCAAATACTGTCTAATAAAAAGACTCGGTAGCAAATTTAAGAAGAGATTGAATATTTACGTCCAAAAACAGGGTGATAAATTCTCGACACGAAACTTGCTTTAAAAATTATGAAATTTTTTAAAAGACGAAAGTTTTTCAAATTTATTTATGTAAACAAACAAACCATTTTGATGATGAAGATAACAGATCCCATGAGCCTGACCACTCGATTGAATCTTAACTCCAGATACTGCGAAAAAAGAATTGCTAATTGTCAAGAATCTCATTGTTACATGAAATAACTTGTGTACCTCGTAAGACGACGTAATTCGGAGTTCGTAGAAAACCGGCAGGTATACAATCGCCACTGTCACGGATACAAAACTATCCGCGATCACGACGCACCATAATTGCGTGCCGTAAACGTACATTTCGGCCGGCAATCCCAGCATCGCTATGCCCGACACGTAGCTGCAATTTTAAGGGGCCGTCCTTAGAATTACTCCTAATCGTGCAACATTTTAGACAATGCAAATTTAAACGTCACTAATTCCCAATTTATTTCTTGGCAAATGGACGATCTCCCAATTTAATGTCGTCAATCGCGAACGTAACGTTGTGAATTAAAATATCCAGGAGTGACAGAAAATAATTATTTTATATATAAATTTTAGTTTTATTATTATTATTTGAGAAAAGGATTATCTATGATTTAAGTAATTTTTATAATTTATATATAAAATATACATATATAAGTTTTACAAATGAAAATATATATAAACATATAAACTCAACTATATATATAAACTCATAAAAAAATGCAATTTCACAATTTTCCCAAGGAACGTACGCTTAAATCAGAAGTAAAGCAATTCGCAGATAGCAGTTGCCGTCAATGAAACGTTAATGGCTTATGACTAATATGGGGTGCTCTTAGAACGAATTTTCTTATCCGACACGTGACATGTGGCTATTAATAATTAGGACCTTAACTAGAGCCTTGACGGTCAATTGAAACGAACGTCATCTAATGTGCCCTATATATTTCCGGTTTGCAAATCAGTTCTTCCGACGTCCTATACTTTTGTATTCAGCAAGCTTACGTAAAGTTAGAAGCACAAATTAATTAATATAAATATTTTCCTGTATAATATATTTTGTATACTCCAAAATATAAAAAGACATTTTAAAATTTCAGGAAACATAATATTTCTAATTGCACTTTTTTGATTCTACGATACAAGAGTCAACTCGAAAAGAAAGGGAGGTGCAAATCTTTACCTTGCTATTAGTGACATGCTTATCGGAAATATAGACATCTTTTGACTGCCTACAAGGTACTCTCCCACGGCGTCTTCCTTCTTCCTGGACGCGTAACACTGATAGACGCCAACGAGAGCAGAGACGCCCAGCAACCCGATAAACACGATCGAATCGACCAAGTCGAACGTTCGCCGATTATCTGTCGTATCCATTGCACCTCGAATTTGTTTTGTCGAGCAAAAATTGTATCCTCCAATCAGATATTCACATCTGATAAATTTTGTATTTTGTGGCTATTATTACATTTTTTCGATGTTCGGTATTCAGTAACTCGAATATCAAACGGACTTATGGAAATTCGCAAATCGGCCCAGATTAGTCAAAATTATTTCCCGTCGCGCATGAGTTCTTCAACATCCCACAGAAATCTGGCGAACGTTACATTTACGCACCGATTCGAATATTTAGAATTATAAGACCGCGAAATCTCACGTAAAAATCAATCTGTCCGCACGACGAAACAGATATTTAACTCGTAAAGAGCACGTCAAAGAGATAAATGATATTTATTTCAAGTTTAATTCGTCTTATTATAAATTTTATAGGTACACAGATATTCACTAAAGTATCACGTTTTTATAAATTTTTAAAATGTAGACACATTCATAGACGCACAGATATTCACGAAACTGTCACGTTTTTAAACGTCCATGTATGCTGTTAAGTTAGAAAGTCACGTGTTACAGACGTGCCCGTCAAATTTTTCGAAATCACACGGAAACACGAAAAATTAACAGAAAAGTCACGATGAGACTGAAGTCAAATCTGGTAGTACAAAATCCGTTCGTTCCGATCCCTTTGATCTCGCGCGATTACCGTGATTTCGAGATTGCGCGACGATGCGGCGACGAAATTACGGATGTGCCGTTTCTTCTGCGCGCTCTACGAAACGTCTGTGACGGTGAAAGAACGACGCGTCAAACGCAGCTTCACGGGCCACGATTGAATAATTGCGGATTCTCCGCCGCTCCGTTGCTCCATATCGCCCTCGACCACCGCCTTCCGTGATGGTACTTATATATGAGTACATGAAACGGCCAATGGACTTGTCATAGATCACCTTCATTCCGATCTCATCCGATTAATCCTTTCAACTCTCAACTTTTTTTATTAATTAGAAAGAGGAATAAAAGAAGTCTGTTGAAATCACGAATATTTCGGACAATTTGATTTTCATCTTTCATAGTGATGTATAAGAATAACATTCGTTATTGATGTACACATCTATGGATTTTAAATATTATTTTCTCTTTTTGCACATACATATAAAATGCAAATAAATTGAAGCCGAAGTGATATTTATTACAACGAACAATAAGAAAAAATTAAATGCTGCTAATTCGAGGTAATTAATTTAATTGTTCATTAAAGATTTTATATGCAATCAGTTATATAAAATTATTTTTGACTACAAATGTAATGAAATAACAAAGTAAGGGGATATTATAGGAGTTCTGGAAGTGAAATAAATTTCTGCGTATTCACCGGTATATCTATATCTTTATTTACAAAAAAAAACAAAGTCACCGCTATTCGACAGAAACATTTTGCCGCATTTCTTTGAGCTTATTAGAGCCAAATAACATTAAACGTTCACAAAAATTGCGGCATTACAAGCAAATATAGTAAAAAAAACGTTCATTCTCATTCTATCATTTTCAAGAGTAACACGGTAACAACAATAAAATATCCGGCATCCACTCAGGACAAATATACTTCGATATCAATAACGTTGGTATCTCGAAAAAATATACAATGGAATGTGTATCGTGTCGGCTTCTCGTATAAACGACTGACACTCATGACAAATCCTAGACGCACAAAAACTTTACAAATACCTTACAAATATTATAACGTTACACAAACTTTGTAAAAATCGTCGTTTTGACGATTGTTTAATATCGCGACTAAAATCCAATCGCGCATTGAAACTCCTTTATATTTTAATTGTGATGCAGCGTAGTGGATGAATCAAATGATTACATTCGAACTATTTGACGATGCTTATAACAATATCTTTCTCAGAAATCAGCACCCCTTATGTACATACATAAAGTATAACTCCAGCATAATTTTAATGAAAGCATAATTTTCATGAAAACAAAACATTGTTAAAAATATTTGTAAAAATATACATTATATATTATTTTGGCTGTTTTTAGTTTTTGGTTAACTCAGAATTTTTTTATTATAATTAACTTGAGATTTATTGAAGTTGATACTTTATGTATGTACATATATATAATATATAGAATATACACGACACATATACGTATATATGTATGTATATATGTATGTATATGAGAGACATAGTCTTTTTATTATATCTATGTTACACAAATAAATTTCTACATATCACAAATATATTTCAACATTGAAAAAATTCGTCGAAAAGGCACGCCGCATTAATGCCTATTGTTTTAATTGCATTTATTCATGAAAAAGGCACGTTTTATAGATATTTATAGATATTTAAGAATAAGAACAATATAAGAATAAGTACGATAATATAATCAATATGGGGAACCGCGCACTAACAGATTCAGAATAATTCACATGCACCAATCTTATTCGTCTAGAATATCGCAATATTATTCTATATTATTATCACGCATAAAAAGTTGTCCGACATGTTAAAATTAAGATAATGCTGAGCTATATATGTTCATAATATTTTCTGAGAGATTGCGTGTGTGAAAAGATTAGAAGCGACAGTTGGTCGTAAAATTGGCTGCCCAAATAATGTCTCTCTTACCAGCATATATTATTCATAATACTGTACCCCTCCACTATTAAAACTACTAAAACGAAAATAAAATCAACATTAAAGTAATTAATAAAATATTAAATTATTAAAATTATGTACAATTCACACTTAAGTACGCTAGAAGGAAAGTTGAGAAAATATTGCTTGTAAGATCTTAAGCCGTTTAATTCTTCGATTTTTTAATTCGTTTGCAAAAGTTTTTTTATGTTATTCTATTTAAAGGCATCATAATTTGAAAAAGATTATTAAATAAGAATAGACTATTTGCTATATCTATACAGTTCGATTCGACAACTTAATACTACGAGCTGCCCTTGGGCAAAGTTAATATCTTCGTTTCTGGAAGACGTTGATCCACCTCGAAGGGGATCATGTAGTGAAATGAAAAATGCGGTGTAGTGTGTGTGAGTTATTGCTATTTTGCTAATCGCTAAAAATGGTGAATCGTGTATAAATGATTAAATCTAAGGCCAGTGATTGCTGCAGGACGAAGACAAAGTATTTTGTATTAACTCATATAAATGTAACCCTTTCGTTTAGATTGAAAATCGAAATAGCCATTTTTTAATCTCTTAACTTTTAGTTACAAAATTAATTGATGAATATTTGAAATTTTATCGAAAATCGATCGTTTCAATTTGTCATATGTCCCTTGATTATTTTCTAGAAGAGATTCGTAAAAAGATACAGTAAACCTGAAACTGTTTCTTTTGTAAATTAATTCATATATTAGTTCATATTAAAAATTTAATATAAAATATAAATTAATTTGAAGTGTCATTAATCATTAATATTAATGACAATTTTCGAGTTTGAGCAAATTTTCTACATGTTTACTCATTAAAAAATTGAGCATTAATCGAGCACTTCCCCCCGATCGATAAAAATAGAACATTTTTCAGGGAGCAAGGGATTGTTGAGCGCATCTGTTTTGAGCAAATTGCATTTGTATGCAAACCCATTTCCAGAAGTAATGTCTCTCGACATTACTTCAAGTTTCTCGAGCTTTAAAATTAATCAATTTAATTGGACAATCTTTTTAATTTTTATCAAGATTAATAGCTGTTAAAATTACAGATATGTGTACTGTAATTTCATTAATGTCATTTGGATTTATATTGTCGTGGAATTTCACAACATTAGACTACATTGTGCCTTGGCTCGCCGCGGTTTGCGATAAAATTGTTATCGATTTCCCTTCGTTCTTCGCGTGCAACGTCACTGACCTATGCAAAGTGCGCCGTCTTATACGCGCACGTTTGCTCGGAAGGCCTTTCATGGACGGAATGGCTGATAAGGATGCGATTTCTTAAAATATTTATTACGCATTCTATTACTAAAACCCTAAATGGACACGCGCTGTGCATATAGAAATTCACATGCCAATCGTCGATCTTTAATTCAGGCTATTGATATTATTTTAGCGATTAAAAGTACTACAAAAGTAATCGTAAAACCGCTGTGGGAAAATTTCGCAGAATATCCTTTGAGATGCTTTATGTTAGACATTATTTAACACCAAGGTGAGAAAATTTTTTATAAAAAAACAGTAAGTACTAAAAAAATTTGTTAGCAATTTTTATGAACAAAATATTTAATCACTAAGAATTATTGAATTTACTTATTTATTAGTCATCCATTAATTTAATTTGTAAATACGAAATTAATTTTTCTGCATCACAATTAATATTGATGCATAGAGGTTTTATCAATAAAAGATAATTGTAAAAAAGTTTGAAAGTTTGAAGAACTAGAGAAAAGATGAATTTAAGGGCTGAATTTACAGCCTTTGACAGACGAAGGTATTAGAGCTACTATAGCGATTTCGCAGAAGCGAAGTGTTTCACCAGCAGTTTAAGACCAAGAAGATAAGGTCGACGAAATTGTACCGCGCGCGTCTATCCGCGATTGTGTCGCGTTAATAATTATTTAATTAAGTCACACAGCCGCACGGTTAGCGGAGGCGTGATACGCATTCACGAGTCACTCCAAAAACTTACGGTACTACATTATAGCTGTACAAGTAATCTATTAGGGCAACATTTATAGTCTCGATGTAAGAGCAGACGTTATTCTTCAAATATTACTTCTTCAAAAGTGTAATTAATTCACAGTCGGAAATGACCGTCATTTCCCCAAGTCATCGAAAATGTCGTTAACAGCAAATCACTTGTTTCATGACTCGACGTTTAAATGATTCAGGGATTGTCGGGAAGCAAAATTGTTGTGTAGAAATATGATTATTCTCTGTGGGACTGTGGTCATAGTTCGTAGAACTGTCGACTAAGAATACTCTTAAAAACTGTTTAACATACGTAAAATCGCGCCGAGCATTTAAGAAAGACAAAGTGTATTGGGCGATCTTTCATTCGACCGCTCCTATACATATTCCAATATACATTAACAACGTAGCTCGAAAAATCGTTTTGTAAAAACGCGAAAAATCTTACGGAATATCTCAGCATGTATTCGCAGAACAAGACAGAATATAGCCGCGCCACATTTCACGCCTATACGCTTCGCCACATCCTCTTTTCATTTTCCTGTCCACTTAAGCCAGAATTGTTCAAAGTTCTGGTAAAGCAATCTTTTCCGCAACGTTCTGATTAAATATACTTTTTGTTTCTTTTTTCTTCACAAAAGCAATTATCGCCACAAAAAGGTGTTTCCACTCATCGCGGTGGAACTTTAAAATGCATTTTTAGAACAAGCAAATATTTACCTTGGTCTTCTTTTTTTGAAGTTTCAAGTACCTCGACAGCCTTTACAAGTAAAGTCGAGAAAAATCCTGCGCATATTTTCTTATCGATGTTAAATGTCCGATTGTATCTAATCTTAAAACGAACTCTCGCGAGCCTTCGTCTTAAGCTGCGCGGCGTCCGGGCTTGGTGTCATCGCCGGATTATCGTAAGCATAGTCGAGAGTGGTGTCCTCGCTAGCGTGCCGTCGTGAGAGAGGAGTGCTCGTGGTGTTCGGTGTGGTGTTCATCCCGTTGCTATTACTATTGCTATTACTATTGTTATTCTCGATCTTGGATTCCTGCTGCACCGTGGCACTTATGCTCGGTATAGTCAACTTGAGACCGTTCTGCTTATTCATAGCGGCCTCGACGTCGTCTTGCACTTTGTTCTTATTGGCCTGTTGAAATAACAACGGAATTAAGACGTTAAAGTACTCATAACTTCCTTATAAGCATCACAAACAAGAAGTCGTTAAATTTGTTCGGAATAATCGTTTAAGTTAAAATAAGAAAATATAAGAATTTATCATTTTCTCGCGTAGAACTAAATTTAATTGTATTTATTATTTTGCTACGTATTATTTTATCTCTGCACGAACTCGTTTAAGTTCAATAGAACATCTGTCGCAATAAGAACGAATAAAAAAGCTTTTTTGGGAAGGTCTATTCTTGCGGATCCTCACCTTCACTTTTATATTCCTTCTGAACAGAGTTTGTAAAGACTGCTGAATCCTTTTCCACCGTATTAAGGTTCTTCCCAGCAGGTATAACATTCCGAGCAGTGAGAAACAGGTCAAAGTCGTTGTGACCACGAATCTGTACTTAAGCTTCTCGATCTCCTCTATAATAGAAGAATAGATTTTAACAATATAAGGATTTTCTGAGGATTACCGAAATGACATTAATGTGATATGTTTAATTTATTTTCGAGAAATCAATTCTTATATTGCAATTATAAAAATTATAGGAAATATTAACATTGCACGTTTCACGCAGAAGGTTCCGTATTACTTTTTATATAATGTAATCGTTAGGCATCTCCGCGCAATTTAATTTTATGCATTAACAGATCGAACGTAACTAATTTAAAAGAAACTAGGGAAACACTAATTATATCAATATGGCGATTGCTTTTGTGCTCCGTAATATATCGCTGATTTTAGTAAAGATATGTAGGTATAATATCCGTTGAAACCTCGAAAGTGAAAGCTGCGAGTTATGCTCTAAAGCAAACTACATATGCTCTCATATATTAGAAAGGAAGAATCAACGTTAAAATGAAACATTAAAACGAATAGCATGTTACAAAATGTCTACAATCACTTTTCTTTATTCACGGATTATATAAGACAACAGACAAGCATAGACGGCACTAAAATATTGAAATTTCTTAAGTGTTTCTCCTTAGAGCTACGTGAAAAAATATTTGCGTAATGTAAATATATATACCTTGACCATAAATGTATTTAAAAATTCATGTTTCCATAATAAAAATAACTATGAGACTGGCAACGGTAAATTATAAATACCGGTCTTCGCGACCGTGTATTAAGCGGTACTCGCGCAAGAATTACGAGCCGAGTGACGCTTGTGCGAGATTTGCGTCGTTGAAATCTCCGACTCGTCTGACTTCTCTCAAGGCGTTGCGGTACTTTGCAGCAAAATTATGTGCATATTCTATTTGCGCTTGAGCCCACTCACCTCTGAGATCATCGTACTGCCTTGATTGATCCATGTGTTGTGCATAACGCTGATCATGAAGATAAACTGAAATCAGAAGAAGCGACCAATAATTAAATTCAGCGCATTTCGCGCACTCGCATCGTGTTCGTCGAGTAAACTTTTCTAAAGTGTGCTCGACATAGTTTCAACATTCAGTGTATGTTTCATTAACACTTCGTGTCGAGATTATCAGACATTCATTTAGAAAGCGTTACGAAAAATAGCTATTAGCGACGCTACGAAACTCAAAGGTTTCTCCAACTATAACTCCAACTACATTGTTGTACTATTATGCACCAGATATGTGAGAACGAAACTCGACGCTACTGTTCACGTATACATAATTAAAGTTGAATCAATTATAGTTTTAGGAACAATAGTCAAGTATGGTGTAAATCACATTTCAAATGTCATTATCATATTTTTTTAATAATATTAATATAATGTTAAAAGTACATATTATGATCTATATCAATAGTTTATTCTAAGATATAATAGCTCTAAAAAAGGATAAACAATATTAAAAATTTGCGTAAAAAAATGTGTATAACTATAATTAAAAATATTTATATGTATGCGTGAATTTTTATAAGATTAAATTTAATGATTTATGAAATGAACATCTATTTTTAAGTTTATTGAAATATGTATTCTGTATCTGTTTCTTCTATTTATTTTTGAAGAAAATTGCATTCCATAATTAAAATTAATTCGGTTTACGCGGGGTCGATCTGTCTGCTACTAGCACACTTCACACATTTGTCTTCAACGTTCTGCATTTCTTCTCATTCGAATCAATGGTCTACCTTTCGAAAAGCGTAATTTCTCGCGCGCCTGCGTAAAGCCGAGAGTCGGTCGCGATAGCAACTCTCAGCACAAACAATTCCGACCTACGATGCTTACGTGTAGCACGTGAGAGCGCGATTACGTCTTATCCCGACTTTAAATGCGAGATGACCCCGTTCTAAATCGAAAAGAGAAGCAAACCCAGACCTGGGACGACGAGATTGCGTGAATCGATTTGCGAACGCTTAGCGATGGTGATTTGCAAGCAAAGAGAGGAGACTCTAAATTGAGATATTCAATTGTTGAGAATTATCGATTACCAACGATTGAACAGACAAATTTTATTGTATTGAATAATATTTAAATAAAATGAATTAGATATACACACGTTTTCGTTACAATACTTAACAAATTTTCATATAAGTATTTTAAATACGACTAAAATATTATGTAGCATGCGACAATATTCGGATTATTACTTATGATCTCATTATTTGGAAAATTGACACATTAGGATATTTCCACATTAAGATGTTTTGACGGAAAACATTGGATTTTGGAATTTTCATTTATCGTTCTACTAATTCCTCGAATTCCAAGATATAAAAAGGACGAGCACATCTACCTCAATAGAGCTCCTATTTCATTAGAACATTTTTACGTTCATTGCCCAACACGCAGAGTCAACAAGTTCTCCCCCAAATTGTATAATATAAGTTCGGGCCTCGAGTTTGCCGACATAACGTAACCGGACACCGTAACGGGGTCCCTCAATGGGAAACCAGACGTGGACCCGACAGAACTTCACATGGACAATTTCGAATCAGCTACGCACGTCAAATCAAATCCCTCTTCCCCCGTCGCGCGCGAAGCATCCTTTGATGTAGAGGCAGAGCATTTCATTCTTCGCGCGTCCCAAGAAGGAGCGGAGCCGCGGTTTCTCCTACCTGTCGGAGCATTAAATACATCTCCCCTTCCCCGCTGCGGAACCGACGTTGAATGCCAAGCAGGAATGGAAGGGAAAAAAAGGGACGACGAAGAGGAGCATAGGGAGGGTCCGAGGAGGCTGAAAGAAAAAGGACGGCGGGGAGGACGGAGGGAGGAAGAAAAGAAGCTAGATGACTCATCGACCGCGTTCGCGTGTGGGAAGTCGGTAGGAAACAGTCAGGTGCAAAGTCAACGGACCCGACAGCACGGGTTTGGCTTGCCCGCTCGCCGCGCTTGGCGCAGAGGTGAACGACGGCACCGTATTCGCTATCCGGTTTCCCGTATACGCGCCAGCTCGCGTGAAAACGAGAAACCGGAACGACAGGACGATGCACCGCGATACATGACAGACACCGGATATAAGAAGCGATCGGCCTACAAATTCAAATTCGTAAAATACGGATCGAAATATAAAATTAATTTTTCCGGCGATTCTAAAAGCGACTCACTTTTTTTCATATCAATGTGCGTAAATTTTAGTGTCTTTATTAGAAACACTTTTAAACGGAAGCTAATTATAAGAAAAATATTCTATGTATACTTTCGTATTTAAAGCGAGCCTTATATTCGACTAACTGGAATCGCACAATAAATTTTACGATAATTTTTAACGATGCGTTTTAACGGTGAAAAATGATGATCGTATTTTGATCTTTTAAATGACAATTTGTTTACTTATACTCACATTGACAGTCCCTTCTGCACTCCAATGGCTGATAATTGTGACTCGAGGCGTTACACGCGACCGCACAGGGTCGACAATGCAGATCGAAAGTGCTGCAGTACTCCGAGATGTTGCAAATCTTCTCGCCGCATTTGGTACGGTCAGGATTGAGGTCTGCCAGCACGGCGTTAGCCAACACGGATAGAGCGACGATAGTTGTCACTATTAATGTCATACTGTTTACGGTCACCTCCGGGAACACAATTGAAGTAATACCGGGTCCAATTTACCCCGGCGGATTTGGTCGAATTCGCCAACCGGTTTAGTGCTCTTTCTTTCCCTAATTGTCCTTTTTGCCTTACTTTTTCTCTCCCTCTCTCTATCTCGAATTACGGATCTAGGATACAATCGTGACTCTCTCGCGATCCACAGTCGATTCCCATGACGATTCTTAACGGCACTCGAAAAGTATACCTCGAAGAGGCTCCATGCTTGTGGCGCTAAAAACATTCCGATGAAATTTTGGTTACGCATCTGACTTGTAAATTCTCTTTTCTAAATTATACATATACATACATATATATATATATATATATATACAATGAAATCCACTATATATAATTTATTAACTTTTTTTCTAAATTGATATACCTTGATATCTACAAAAAAAGAACAAAAAAATAGGCTAACGAATCCATTTGTTAGACGACACAATTATAAAATCTGTTATTATTGCAAAAAGAGAAAGACTTTGCAATAATTTTGATTACACATTCTTAGTGATATATTTATTGTTTAGCGAGCGTGTTTAGTTTAATATTATAATATACACATATGATTTAATATAACAGATGTTTGAAACATCTCTTAATGGAGACACGACACAACAACCAAAAAAGATATAACGTAGTCACGAATTCATAGACTTGCTAAGTATCTTAATTGTAATTTACAATTAATGATATTATGAATCATAAAATTTATAAATTTAATGATTTTATTGAATAACATGATTCAATTTGATGTAATTTAAACTTTAAAAGTTCTCTTTTTTTTATAATATTATCTAAAATTAAAGTAACTCCTCAGCCTTCCCAGTTTTCTTCCCTTTTCCCAATAAAAGAAAAATAACTTTAATCTAATTTATAAATCGTGCTTAGTGTGATTGCTAGACGAAAAATGTATAGATTGTTATACGGTTTCGAGAAAGTCGCAAAGAAACGCGAAAATTCGATGGCGATTTGTATAGTTTTATATATACACGGGTTCATTTAGTTTAGATCGAATTGAGAATCCGCTCGCGGATGACTTTTGAAAACAGAAAATGTGTTTCGTTTCGTTGGTTACGTCCGTTCGTTACATCCGATTGCGTCGCGATGCCGGGAGATGCGTCAATGCCTGCGAAGTGACATGCATCACCTGTACACTTCAAACACCTGTGTGAACGCATACGTGAGCGCGGCTGGATGCATCAAAATGGCCTCCGGTGTCGCGCAACAGCGGAGATACTTTCGCCTACCTATCGACGACCTCGTTTTATTGTCGCATCGCGGACTATGTTTTGTAAATTACTCGCGGCCTGTCGTTCTTGACAGTGCTTTATATATCCTTTCGATTGCGTGACGTTTGCGTAGGTGACTTTTTTTTCAGAGACAGTAATGTACTTTCAATAGCGATAGATCACAATGACATTATCGAAAATTGCAACAGACATCAGATAGATTTATAAATCTAAAAAATTCCGGTGACCAAAGAATGAAATTAAATAAAGTAACAGATGATAATGAGAGAAGATAAAAACCGAATATGCTTGTAAGATGTGTGATCCGTAGTCGTTTACGAAATAAGATATAATGAGAGACTAATATTCTCAGGGCCACGTCGTATCGCGTTTGTGACTCACTCCTCGTATCAACCAGCGAGGTAAACGCTTGCTTCGTTTCCTACATAACTTGGCGACGGAAAATTGCTCTCCTACGATAGTGACTAGCTGTCGATCTAACAAGCCGGGAAGACTAAATTATTTCGATCAAGCAAAATACAACACTTCATCGCGAATACTTTTCTCGGTACTTATTTTATTAAAATTTTGAGAAAATTAATCAGTATTTAATTCTTAATTAAAATATCCGAAATTTTAATTAAATATTCAACTTAAGATCGATTATGTTAGCTTTAAGATTATTTCTTCCCATACTTACAATTTCATTGTTTATACTGTAACTGCAAAATTCGAGAAAATATTGTCATGGCTGATAACGTCATAATGTTTAATAATTGCAACACAGCGATGCGTCAAGCTGTTATGATATTGCCGGCCGGTGTTTCGGAAGATATGCGATCATACGTGCTTTTCTTTATATTTCGCCAACGCTATTACGGCATATCGCATGTCTTTAAAGTATATCCAATTATCGTATCATATGTTTTTTGAAGAGCAACTTTGCTTGCAATCATGCGGATGCAGATTGTAATGCTCGCGAATGCACGTTGCAAGTCGCTACGTGGGATCGGCGAGCGCTGTGGTACATCTGGTACCGAATGCACACAATACGTGTCGACGCACAATGCTTTAGGGTGTCGCCCAGTGTTGTAACAAATGGAAATCGAATGCGAACACATGGTACAACCCACTCGAATAGTCGTACGAAATAAAACAACGGTAAACTGCTTAAAACGAACAGAATATGGAAATAAGTATAACATCATAAAAAATATGAAACTTGTATCGTTTATTTATATCCGTATTTTAATGCATATAAAATTCGTATTTAATTTACGACTTAATTTACATATTATAGACTACTTCTCAAACTTTAAAATTCTATTATTTCCTTTCAAAGAATAAATGTCAAACTTTGAGGTTTTGAAAATATTCTCGAGATGTAACTCCCTAACATATTTTATTCAAATATCTCGAGAAGTACAGCAAAATAGAAAAAATTATATTTCAGCATTTCTGTGATATTTATCAAGTATGAATTAAGAAGATAAGTTATAAATTATATTTAAAGAAGAGTTTGTGTTACACTATTTTCATTTTTATATGATGTGTGATTAAATAAATACTTCGATTTATTCGTTGTATTATTATTATACCTGTAATTTATATTATATTCTAATATCGTTAAAATAAAATGAGCAATATAAAATAATGTTAATATGAAATTTATAATTTTTTCATACTGAAGAACATATTTGTACGTTTAAAGTTAAAGAAAACTTAGTAAATTTTAAATAAAGAAAAGTTTATGTATACAGTTTACACAATTAATTTTTAATGGAAAAATTTCTCGTGTTTTTTTGTAATTGATCAAAATTTCATTAAAAATATACATTAATACATAATATTAAAAAATTGTTATTATATATAACTCACTTTTGTAAATTCTCTTTCTTTTCAAAGATTTGAGTTGCTATATTCACTTGAATTGCTAATTAACAGTCATTTATAGATTCAAATCCATCGTATTTAATTAAAGAATTACAATATCTCTGCAAGTGATCGAAAGCTGTTTTGCCTCTTTCACGATGTCTGACGTTCAATATTATTTCAATACGTCTATTTATCACATTCCGACACGTTCGTAGTCAAGCTCGCAAATCCACTTTTCATTAAGCAGCGCCTCGATCTCGTTGTTTTTCGTTATCCCGCGATAACGGAAAACATCGCTAATTGTGCCGCACTCGAGCTCAGCATCGAGCATCGAGCGATGTTTTGCCATGGAAAGTCCGAGTAGAAGTCAGAGGTAGGCGGTGGACGTGCACGGTCGGGACACAGGAATGTTGCCTGACTGGTTCACGAGGAGGCTTTTACGCATGGCGAACATTACGGGCCTCGAACGCGTCGTCAATGCTCGCGCTCAAACCTCGACTACGATCGAAGGAATGAATCACGAATCAAAGTCGTCTATCGGATATTAAATAGCACGATGTGGACCGGTTATTCGTATAAGTGAGGAACTGAACACGGTGAACAGCATAAGGCTTACGCTATTACAGAAACTTCTGTTTCGAAATCTTTGAACACTTTCCCTATTGGCAAGCCTAAATAGTTATGATACTGACGAGATTAGAATTCCTTTTGCTTCTTCTGCTTGTTTTTCGTCTTCTTTTTTTTTCAGATTGAATTTTATAGTTTAAGTTCTTTTTCTTCAAAGCTAATGTAAATCTCTTAGTAACATTCTGAATTAATAATTGTTAACACGAAAAAAAACTCTTCAACTTCTAATTTTGAAAACATTTCTCAATTTTCTCTCAACTAAAATATTCAAACGTGATTTCATGAGTTAGAAATGAATATGTGAAAATGATATGTGACAATTAAATAAAGAAATCTTATAATTATCTCCGAAGTCAAGGTGATTAGGTCGCCTAAACTTAATTTTACACTGCATAGAGACGGATCAAAACACGCGATATAAAGATATCATCAACTATCCAGAGTGTTTCCTGTAATTTAGCAAATAGCAAATACGTAACTATCAGCCGCTGTAATACACACGGTTATTTTAATTAGCGGCTGACTCATATGGTCACACATACTTGGTATCTCGTTTCTTGTAACATCTTTTGCTCATTGATAACGCCATGCACAACGCACAGCCTTGACGTAGTTTACGTCAGAATGAATTGTCGCGCGAAGCCGCGTCACACGCGCGATCATCTTCCTCATGACGAAACGTCGCAACTGCTGCGCTAGCAATCTCGGAAGAAACTGCATTCGCGATTCCGCGGTATTCTAATCCCGCGTAATCGACGCGCGACAAACTAGGACAAATGTTGCCCGACGAGCACCCATAATTAGCCACTAATTAGTTAGTTAGCCGTTCTCATTATGACGTCGACTAGCACTCGGTTCCGATGTTCCCAAGCGATTTTCCACATGGATTACTATTGTAACGGTGTCACGTCGCGCTCGATTGATTTGTCCTTGCTATAGCGAGTAAAATGGTAGTGCATATTTAACAAGTTTTCGGAAAGCATCGTCTGATATCGGAAATATGTATACCTAATAATCTTATTGAAAACATGCTATATAAGCGGAATTATAAGAAAAAAAAACGACAAAAAATCGACGAATTCTTTGGCCATTTCGAGTCGACCGCGGTTCTCTTAGGATAAGGATTCAATTAAATGCCGTAATCTTTTCGTAACTTTATTCCTAATCAACTTGAAATTCTGTCGAATCAAGATCTCGAAATTCTATCAAATTACAATCTTTATATCTTGAAATTTGAAATAAAAATCAAGATTTTGCTATCTTGTCTTATGCTATTCAAGCTTAAATCTATTTTGACAACAATAAATAGAATATTTTTATTTTCAATATAGTTAACAGCTTTTATTTTTACTAAACGCCGACTTCAAATTTAAAAAATCCTTCAAGTGAAATTTCAAGTAACTTTACCCGAATGCTGATGTGTAAATGCTAGCAATGTAGCATATGGTACCGGCGTTTCCAAGCAGCGGGGATCAATATTATATGTACATATATACAGAAGCAGTGGATCGATACGATACGAATAAATCGTGAAATTATCTCAGTGCACGTCAAGCTCACCCGTCTTATCTGTGCAACTATGTGATCGTTAAAGTCTCCGCGGGTCCTCCTCACAACATCCAATCAAATCGTCCAATTGCCCGGTACAAAACGTATGCCCGCGTATTTTCATTGTGCGCACTTCGCTTTTATACACCGACCGGCTCTAATTCGAATCGAGCACAGCTCGGTAACCGGATTCTCGCGCATCTAATGACAACGATAAGCTCGACAGTAGTCACGGACAACATTCTCCCGATGGTAACAATATTTGCGATCGAATACACGTTAAATTAGAAGCGTTCATATATACATCGAAAAAAAAATCAAAGAAAAGCATTCAAATATCCCTAAACTAGGACATTGTTTGGACATCTTTATCGGATAGACATTATGTTATAATTCAGAGAAAAAGAAAAAAAGTCTCTTAAATCTATTTAAATTACGTCTTCTCTCTCTATCTTAAATTAACTTTGAACGATACCTGAGCATCGTTTACTCAATTTTATGGACGCATCAGGGGGAAACGAGTTGCGCCAAATTCTACCAGGTCTTTGCACAATTTTCTAATTACAATTACGAGCACGATATAGATCACTCGGCTTACCGAAGTCATCCGTGGAGCGCAGTCCGCTTCGCGCGCGCGCGCGCCCCGGACGTACGCACGCGTTCACGCACCCACGCGCGATCACGCGCTACGCGCCCCGACGTCCTCGGATACCTGCGTCGCGGGGAACGCGGACGCACACGCGTACATCGTACATTCGCCTCGCATGCAAACGTCGCGAACGCGCACCATCGACGGCCCTCCGCGCTTGACTGTCGATCGCGAGAACGCCAAACCGAACCGAGTCCGGTTGGCGGCGAGTTCCCTCAGGTTCCCGAGACTCCCACCTCTCCGGAGGAGTCGGAGCGACTTCGTCCCCTCCAACCGGCGCACCTGTCTCCCTGCCTCACGTTCACCTATTCCTCCCCCTTGCATCCTGTCCGCCTTTTTTTCCTCTCTCTTTCTCTCTCTCTCTCTCTCTCTCTCTCTCTCTCCTCTTTCTCTCTTACCTGCCATTTACCTGTTGCCAGCTTGCGCGCGCACTCGTAATCCACGACGACTCGCGCCGTTCGACTGCCATCGAAGATGCCGCCGATGCCGCGGCTCGACGTCGACGGCACGTGTTGACGTGTCGAGTACGCGAGCATGTGACTCTGACCGCGAAGGATGCAAACACATCCCGCAAAGACTGAAGGCTGATAGTTAAGTCTGATTTTTATCTTTTTACTATATATAATGTCTTTGCGTTTGTAAAAAGAAATCTATAGATTTATTTTTGCAATGCAAAGGTATCCATATATATCTTCTACACGTAATGTAAAGATTAATGTTAAGATTTTTTTATGTATTTTTAACTGACAATGAGTTAACCAGAACTCCCTTTCACATTCCCTTTCATTTGCGTAGAATTATCTCTCATTACAAGAATTTAAAAACATTCGGCTAACAACGGCAATACATACGAGATAAATGTAATATTTGTTATCGGCAAAATGTGCTCACTTGCACCGCGAAACGAGATAACGATGTAAGACAGTTATGCAAATAGATGTTGGGGCAGTAAAGCGTATATCGGCATCGTGTAGTGGGATGACATACATATTTATTGCGTATTAAATGTTCATACAAAGATATAACAATGACTCTCGCGTATTCGCGGCGCTACAAGGTGCTAACATTATTATTGCGGGTTAATATTGTTGTTTCAGAGGAAACGAATTATTGCGCATAAGAAGGTTGATTGAGGGGGCGATTTGTCGAGTGGGAGGTCGATATGTCGAGCCATTTTGGTGCTGTCGTTTTCTGCTTGTATGAAACGGATGCTGCGAGCCGTCGGGAATTCCTCGAAACGATTTCGGAAACCGAAAGCGAGTCTCGCGGACGTCGCTCTCTTCCTCTCGTTATTGGAGCTTCCGATATTCGCGTTGCTTTAAGAGATCGCGGCGTTTATCGAATCGTTTGCGCGTTGCATGACAATGAAAGCGCTGCTACAAGAAAAAAAAGTAGAATCCTAAAAAAAAAAGATTTGGAAACCTCACGACACCCCTGGTTGAGTATATCGCTCACTGACCATATAGATACCCCCGCCGATTATCACGCCAACATTGGTCCCCATAATCATTGAAGATATACCCAGCGGGATTGTGCCCGTTGTTGAAAATTGTCGCGTTAATTTTGGACCTTCCCGGTTGTCTGCATATATCGCTACTGATTCAAAGCGTACTCGAATGGCGAATCAAAAACATTTCGGTGGACCGTGCGGGTACCAAGATCACTTCCGGAGATCTTTCTCAACCAGGGACGTATCCGCGATGCTGGACGACGCACGGCGATTCACGGAGATCGATTGCGAATGATCGGGGAATGATTCGAGATGTGAAACAGGAAGCGAACCCGGAAGTCATCCGCGAGCGGATCCTCTCGCGGAGACCTCCGATCGCGCCTCCAGTCAGGTTTCTCATCTAGGGGATGAAAATCTCTACGACAGCCCGAGATCTCGAGAGCGGATCTCGGTCCGAAAAATTGTGCGTTTTGCTTTTTGATCATTTGTGACTTCTAACACAGTAATTGTCGTGAACACCCTGTATAAAATATTCCGCTGCTCCCGGTCATCCTGCCTTTTCCACTCGCTACTGAAAAACATAATGCAGATTTTTTTCTTTACAGTTTTTTTTTCTTGACATATCCGCGTTGATATCGATCGACACACGTCTCTCTGTCACGTGTGAAACATGGTGAACTCCGTCCGGGCGCATCCGACGCGCCGTATCTACGCACGCAAATCACGCACACGACACACCCTCTTCTTCGTTTAATCCGCCGCTACCTCGAGCGAGTTCATTCCGGCTGAAACCTTCCGAGGGGGACACACCATGGGGCGGATACCGCCACGGTTGACCCTGTTTTCAGCCCACGAGCGCATACTCGGCGACCACAGGTTACCGGACGTTATCGCACCGATTTGGTTTCCCTGCCGTCATCGAGGATGCACTCGGCGATTGTCGATTGATGGAACATTAGTCCCTTTGGTTATCTAGCACGAGCCGTTGGGTAGAATAGTGATACAACTATATGTAACAGTGAATCATAAATTTTAAGGAACATAACATCTATCTTTACGTTTTGTATCTTTTAATATATCTATAACCGTATTATAGTTTTCTTTTTATTATCCTCTGACGTGAAATTTTGAGTTAAAAAAATCGAGGAAAGGACGAAAAGCTGAACAAATGCATCATCCTCAATTTGTCATGCCCGATGGCTCATACAGTCGCAAATGACTACTGGTAATTCCCTCAGTAATTATGGGCAGCAAGGGCACTTTCGCGCAATTTTCCAACCAGAGAATCACATTTCACGTACACACATTCTCTCGCTCTTTCTCTCTCTCTCTAACTCTCTCTTTCTCTCTTTTTCGCTCTGGAGCGCATTCGTTCGCGACACGCGTTCACCGCGAGTCGAACGGGCGCCAGATCGCGATTAATCATTATTACTATTACTATTACGATTTGCAATCCGATAATTAGTGAACGGGGAGCGCATGATTGCACATTTAACATATCGTGATCGGAAAGGCTTTTCGCGTTCCGTTCCCCAACCATTAACAGTATTTGTCGCGATATTTTCATCGCGGAATACTTAATCCTGTCGATACGGACCGACTTACAATTAGTCTCTGTATCCGAATATCTTAAACTCGATCGCGAAGTTAAAATTCAAAATAAAAATTCGCGTAAAAGCTCTTCATCTCGAATCGCTGGTATCACGAATTTTAATTCAGGAAAAATCGAAAACTTGATAAACTTGTTAAACTCATTAAAATTAAAATCGGCAATTGGAATTTTTAAAGAGAGTCATCTAAAAAATTATCTCCCAAATCACAAAACTAAATAGTTAGTAAACGCAATGTCGCGCGCATCTCTTACGAGAATAGAAAAATAAAAAAAAAACTTAAGTCTCGTTCTCCAAAGGAGATCCATCGTGGACAGATAGAAAATCGGTGATATATAATCATCGTATTAGACACATGTTCTACGAATTAAGCTGCCTTTGCATGTTGCAGATTACGCGAGTAGCCCGGTCAAGTTAGACCAAAAAATAAGAGTGAAGTTACATAAATTCGCTGTCAGCTGAAAATCGGTAAAATTGTTCAAAACACAATAAAAAACAATTTCTCAAAGTTCCCCATCGTTCCGGTTTAAGGAAAAAAATTGACTCGAGGTCAAAGGTCAAAAAAATGGGTTTTTCGCGATTTTCTTCAAAACGGTAAGTTTTATCGCAAAATTACCTCAGACATAAATTGTAGATCATAAAATTATCTATAAAAAAGGTATCAATAACTTTTTTCCTAAAAGCCACCGTTACTGAGATATAACGATGCAAAAAGTTGCAAACGTCATAATATGCACACGTTTCCATGCCACCTCTGAGGTAGTGTACTTAGCGCGTTTTTTTTAACGTGGTTTCCCCAGTAAGCCTATTCCACGGGTCTTTATCACTTTACCTTTAGTGTTCATTTTTTCCATTGTTATAAAATGTGGGTTAGTCCACTGTTACAGCAAACAGTTCTATTAATACATTTTTTTCTCGAAGTAAACTTTTTTAATTCTAAAAATCAAGTATTTTTAAAATTTTGAAGTACTGGAATAGAAAACTCAAAGAATTTTATTTGTATATGTAGAAATATTTATACTCAAGAGATTTAGCTTATATTATCTAACGGTGATAAAAATTGAAATTGAGATATATTATACATTCGATTTTTTTGCATTAGTAAGATCAATAAGACGATTTTGTATATGTATGAGTAAACAGAGTAGTATATTAGATAACACTTTTTCATAAAAAAAACGCGCTAAGTACACTACCTCAGAGGTGGCGTGGAAACGTGTGCATATTATGACGCTTGCAACTTTTTGCATCGTTATATCTCAGTAACGGTGGCTTTTAGGAAAAAAGTTATTGATACCTTTTTTATAGATAATTTTATGATCTACAATTTATGTCTGAGATAATTTTGCGATAAAACTTACCGTTTTGAAGAAAATCGCGAAAAACCCATTTTTTTGACCTTTGACCTCGAGTCAATTTTTTTCCTTAAACCGGAACGATGGGGAACTTTGAGAAATTGTTTTTTATTGTGTTTTGAACAATTTTACCGATTTTCAGCTGACAGCGAATTTATGTAACTTCAAATGTCTAGATTGACCGGACTAGAGGGTGCAACAGCAAAAAGCCTGGCCGGAACTTGTACGTTTTTTTTTTATCCTTGCGAGCGAACTAGCGGCTGCGACTACATGTTTCGGTTCGGACTCCCTCGTATTCGCTCGTATTCGCTGTAGACTTGAATTTTCGTTTGTGTGCCGCTTGTGTACAATCGAACTCGTGCGATTGATTCAGTTTGAAGAGGAACGATCCGACGAGATATATTCGGGCTCTGCGTCGGAATTTATCGCTTGCCAGAGTGACAATGTGAGTTTCATCAACGTCTGCGGGTAATTCTATCGCATACGCAAAGCACGAGCGTCCCTTGTATAACAAAAAAAAAAACGTACTGCAAATTGTGGCCACAGCTTTCACGAAGAAGAAAGGTGAAACGATCTCTCGAAGAATATAGAATAGAACAGCGGGATGAAATAAACTATCGAATTAAAAAAACGGTAACACTTAACGATAAAACAAACAGACAGCGGCGAAATAATAGAACAACCCACCAACGAAACACACTCTAAGTCCGGGGATAGAAATAAAAACACAATTGTAAACGTTCCGTTACCTGATCATTTTATTGTTCTTAACAGACGTCGATGAAATTCGCACAGGACTAATTTGCGTTTCTCTTACTTAGATTCAGTCTTCACAGACCACTGCGTTTGCCGTATTAATTCGTGACTACATTAATACAAAATATATTTTATTATAATTTATGTAGGTAATTAATAATAATAATATTTATAGCTTCTTTTACGCTGGTGGCCACGAAGAAAACCCGGCGTCTGTCTCGTTTTCCGTTCGATTCTTTTTTCGGATTACAAGGTAGAAAGAGAGGAGGAAAAGTGGGACACCGCGGTGTCGACCTGAAGAATCAAGATTGATTAACCGCTATCAAAGTTGATTTTCGAAAAGCCGACGGGCCGCGGATAGACGGGACGATAGGGACAGGAAAACTCGGGCGGTGGACGCGGGATTTTGGCCTAAATAGACATATTTACACGAAAGGCCGAAAGGATAATTTCTTTTTTTTTTCTTTGTTTCGCGCAATAAGCGTATTCCGAGAGGTAATTTCGTTGATTTCGACTTTAATTTCGTGAGAAGTGGAGAACTTCATGCAAACGGATCGGGGATGAACGCCGCGTTTGTGGACCACCCTTCCTACAGAAGATTGTTTTTTTCATACCCATTCACGAAGAATTTGTTATCCTAATATTTAGTTCTATAAAGCGCTACTATTCTAAAATTTAATGCAATTTGTGTGTCCGTGTGCTTTTGTGTGTACGTATACGTGTATGTATGTCTCCTCGTGTCGTCTGTTTGTATAATCTGTGTGTAAGATCTGCACTTCTTTCGAATTAAAAAAATTACCACTTCAAGACATGACGCGTAGGCGCTACGTTCGACGTTAAATAAATATATATAATCAATGAAAAAATATATCATTAAAAAGTAGGTACAAATAGGGGGCAGGGGATTTGGTATTGTTCTTCCGACGAATCATAATACATTGCGTAAATGAATTTTCTCTCGCGTCCCATACCCTGCACAACGCCACCAGCTCTCCCGCCAATCTTCGCCTTCACATTAATGTGACTTTCGCATTATTACTCGAAAAACATTACGTTAAAAACTTCCATATTATAAATCTAGAATGCACGACAACGTTCGCACCCGGTGATGCTGCACCCACGAACTTCGCACTGCCGATTCTCTCTAATCGACAGTATATAATATATATCCCGAATATAAAATTAAATTGTATAATTTAGAACATGCATATACATATTATGTATATATATCTGTTTTGTATTTAAATATACCTCTTTCTTTTTTTTTGTTTTTACCACATGACCAACTTCGTCCTCGCAAACTTCTTCCTTGTTTCGCCTCCTCGTACACATGTACACACATTTCTTCTTCTGAAAAAAACCTTTCTCTCACTCATTCTCTTTCGTTCTCTTATTTCAATGTTACGCGTTCCTATAGCACAGTTTTATAATAATTATAATTGAACCACATCTCTCCGAATTTGTATTAACCAACAAATGCCTCACGTAACTGAAACATCTGTAAAATATGAGATCATGTCTGCCAAGGGACACGCTTTCACATTTTTCGGCGCGCGTTACAATACCACGAGAATTCCGCGAGCGTGTTCCTCGGCCCTCGACGTAGGCGCGCGTCGAGGATCCTTACACTAATTGTATCGTATTTCTTAGATTCATTAACGTAATGCGGGCTCTTCGTCCCGCAGCGAAAATTCGCGTTTCCGAGCCGCGATAAAAATTTTGCGAAAAAATAAGATGCGAGACACTCTCCGACACTTTTTACGAGAAGCCCATGTTCCCATTCCCGTTGCCCCTGTCCCGTCGACAATGCTGTCTCACTTAATTTTGAACATCTTGGACTCGGGATACAATCGTGAATCTCGATATTATCGTTTCCAAGTGATTCTGTCTGACATAATCTTACAGCTAATGAACGGAACACGCGGACGCTTCATGCACTCTCTCTCTCTCTCTCTCTCTCTCTCTCTCTCTCTCTCTCTCTCTCTCTCTCTCTCTCTCTCTCTCTCTCTCGCTCTCTCTCAATTTGGTCGATTCTCTCTCGTCATTTGAACTCGTCGTTGTCGTCGTCGTCAGGCGACAAAGTCGTGTGGTAGCTAATCGAGCGATCGACTCTGTCGCGCATTCTCTTTGGAGAAACGACTAAACAGAAGAGACGTACGGTACGCGCGACGCGCGCCAAAAAGGAAAACGAGAAGGATAAGGAGGGGAAGGGGGGGGGAACCGCGCGACAATTTCTTTCTTTCTCTTTCATATATACACATTTGTACAGTCATACACATATCCAAACAGAAAAGCCAAATTTTGTGTTTGTATTCGTCTTGTATTGCTGGCTCACTACGATACAGTTGTACAACTATATCGCAACACGCTTCTATACTACCCACTCGCTACATATCTCTCTCTTTCGCACCTCTGTCTCTCTCGCAGGCGTACGGACATGATACAACACGCATCACCACGCATACACGAGCGCGCACGATTGCGCTTTTTCCTTTCTTCTCACGGAATAACTTCGCGAACGGCGATGTCGCCGCGCGCGGTTAGTAATCTAGTCGTACGCGCCATGCTTGCACGAACGTGAACATGTAGAAAATGGAAAGAAAAGAAGAGAAAAGAAAAAGAAGAAACAAATACGCGATGCCTCTTTGATCGTCTAGACGCGTTTGTTTGATCGTTGAGACTCTTATTGTTAGGTGAGAGGGAAATAAAGGAAGAGGGGGAGGAGAGGGAGTATTCGGGAAAAGGTCTAGACGATAAGGTGGATCTTTACGCGACGGCTAACACAGTACGATTAAAAAACATCGAAGAGGTTTCATTTCCGCGTGAGGATCGCTGTCGGCGGACGTCGGCGCCGCGCTACTCTTATTCGCGTGTACTGGAACAACAGAACAAACGTGAAAAATAGAAACGTAGAATAATTTCTTAAATACGACAGCGATCCTGCGGCCTCTTCCTGCGGTAATCGTAATTTTCCTCGTTATTGCGTGTCTCGCGCCCAAAAATTGGTCGTTCTGTTGCACAGGTCAGCCGACCCAGTGACGTCACACACACATACATACATACATACATACACATACACACACACACACATGCTGCGTTATTAGAACGAGTCGCGATCCGAGGATAACTTAACGATGGGATGATGCTCAAGCCGTGCCGCTTCTTCTCTTTCGCTTCTGCCTCTGTATTTCTTTCCTTCCGTCTTCCTTCTCTTTCTCACTAACAAAACAGCCGTACGTCCTCGCGTCCGCTTGAACATCATCCTGCTGCTTTTCCCGCTACTGATCGCGCTACAAATCCCATTTGTTGTAACTGCAGAAACACAGGTTCCAGCAACCCGATCGTGTCGCGCGAACGTCGCCGCGATTCCCGTTGCCGCCGCCGTTGTTCCCTAGACGATTGTTGTTGCTGTTGCTACGGTGCACCATCACGAGGTTGTCGGTGATGGTGGTAGGGTCGAGGGGCCCGTTGGTGATGGCGCAAACGGTAAGCAGGCGATCGCCGTCGACAACACCAGCGGGTCGCCGACTGTCCTATACTCAAATGCTGCTCGGATTACCGCTCGGCTCGGCGATCTTGTCGACGCTGTTTATCCGCTGGCTGGTGCTCTCGGGCGGCGACGGCGACGCCCCGCCGTCCTCCGGCTTGTGCAGCGGCGGTTTCACCCCGTTCTGCACGTAGTGAGTCAGCCGGGTGGGCAGCGAGCCCGCGTTCAACTGATAGAACTCGACCAGTTGCAGCAGATCGTAGAACTTGGTCGTTCCCTTGTCGAGGGTATACAGCCAGCAGTTGCGACGCTCATCAAAGATCTGAAAAGAATAATTCGAATGTGAAGCTGATATTATATAGGTATAGATGTAATTAAAGATATATATATATATATATTTTACAATAATTTTTTGAAGTATACATGCGGTCTGTCATAAAATGCTTGAAAAAATCATGAAGTTATCCTTGGATCAAATAGAATAATTTACAGTACAAAGAACGCATACTTTTTTAAACGTTAACAATGAAGTATGGCTGGGAGGATAAAATTAGCTAAAAAAAACTCTATTATCAATCTCTATAAAAAGCTTAATTATTAATAATTGATTTATTGCGTTAGATAACACACATATTGAAATAAAAACAAAATTTTTCATACCGGTTTATCCAATGGAATTAAATCAGACGGTGTAAAAGATTAAAATCTTTCTTTTTTTATTACGGACTTGTGTTAGCAATTTGTTCGCGATGGCTTTAGCTTTAAAGTAAACGACCGAAGAAACTTTTTCGCGTTTAATCGCCGCGAAGTTAACTCGACCACAAAAAAGATCCTCGACTTGTCGCTAATTATCGATCAGACGCGGATACTTACGGGCTGGATTTGCGCGTGAAAGACCTTGTCGTTGTACTTATAGGTCAACACGAAGGCCCCAGGATTGCTCTTGCTCTCTCTGACCAGAAACACGCTGAAAGTACAATAGAACAGAATATTTGAGAAGTCTGAAAGACGCGACGATGTAGTATGTAGTTATTATCGCGTTCAAACTTGAGTCAACTTTCGATCTGTTTGTCATTAAACTTACTTTCTAATCAGATTTAAGTTAATCAGAAACTTGCGCATAACAATTCGACGTGATTTATACAGAATCGGTACTATTTATACAAGCGATGATCGTATATTCGTAAAAAGTTTGCATTGCTTAGCAGACACGTACTATCTCTCACCGTAACTTTCAAGTTTTCTAGGAACGTTTAAGTGATACGTATACCAGGGACCGAGTAAGAGAAAGGGTTAAGAGCTGCTGGGACAGACGATATCTGAATACAGGACTAGTCGGGAGATTCAGAAGAGATAGGCTGCGCTTTTTGCAGCGTGCAGAGACCCAGCATGCTGCACCGGGTGCTAGATGTTTGATACCGGGGAAGACGGCGAAGCTACGGCTCGTCCAGGCGTATCACAGTATAAATTAGTATGGTCGTAAAAGGCAGCGGGACGAGTGGAGTGGTTTGGAAAAAAAAATGGCAGAGGCGAGGGGCGAAGATGGAGGTCAGGGGGATGCAACGACGAGGACAAGACCGACCGGTCGGTCACGAGGTAGCACAGATCGGCTGCAGCCGAGTGAGAAGGAGGAGAGGGACTCGCGTCGTAAAACGATCGCAACGCGGCCACGCGATCGTAAAACTCCAAGTGGAAGAAGCGGTTCTCGCTTCCTTCCTGGCACTCTTGCATTGAGAAATCCCGTTGTCTCTTGTCACCGAAGAGAGGGACTTGCGGTCCCTTTCGCGATAAAGTATCATCAAGCAGATGCTCATTGCTCTTCGATAAATATTTGATCTACACGGTCGTTAACGAATATTATGCAGCACAATGGCGATACGTTCACAGGAAATTCATTGTCACGCACGTGATTTTGCACGAAGCGAATTCGTTATTTCATAAATCGGAAGAAAGGCTCTTTATTGCTTACAAGTTATTTTCGTATAATTAATTCGTAACGATCTTGAAGTACCGGCAAATAAAATTTGAAAAATATCCGTATGCCTACTTTACTGTAAGAAACTTTCTTTTTCAGAATTGCCTCTCTCGGCAGAATCTTAAATCTCATCCGTTAGATTTGTGTCGATTAATATCTCCTCGAAATGACGGCGTCATATTGTTATCTGTCGTAAGACTGAATTCTTGGAAAAAAATCTGAGAATTACGATCCGCATTCGAGCGACCTATTTTTTATTGTAATATCTCGACCGGATTATTCATGTGTAGCGACGATAACGTTTGCTAATGTCCAGTATCGTCTCTCATCAACCCCGATGCTCGCCCAATGGAATATTCATGCGAGTGAATATTCCACGTCCGCCAGGCAAGCAGATAACACACCGGCGGTGGTGGTGACTCGTCGGCCCCAGCTATGGAAACGGTAATGTCCAAGAACTATCCCGAGTTAGAGGATAACGACGTTACGGCTCCCATATAGTACAAAGGAGCCCGACGTCCGTCGCTAGGATATGTCCTCTCCATATCTCACGAGCTGCTGCCCGAGCTAACTCGTAACATTGAGAGAGAGAGAGAGAGAGAGACAAATGGCGATTAGTAGACAATGCCCTGAGGCGGAATCGATTAGAAGGTTTTTCGCATCTAATGACAACGACGACGACAACGATCGTGACACGAGACAACGGTGGAACTCACGAGGAGCTCGCGAGTGCCAGGTAGGAAGACACAAGGCGGGACTCTCACCGTTTTCTCCTCTTCTCCTTTTTTTCCCCGCCATTGTCACGAGATGAAGAGAGAAAGGACGAGGAAGAGAATACGGCGGAGGCGGCGAGGCGGGTGTACGATCGAGATTATGCAAATTTATGCAAGGGCCCCCTGAACGAACGTAAAACCCGGAGACAACTACGTGATCCCCGAGCACTCAATTACCCGGGGCTAAGCGCGACGAGATAGATGGAGAGAGTCGTTAATTAACCATTTATCCGCGATTCCCGGCGCTGGTATGGCGAATAAAAGATGAGATCGAGGAGGCAAGGAAGAGATAAGAGGAGAGAACGAGCGACAAACCGGAATATCGGCAAAACGCTGCCGCTCGCTCACGGGTCGTGACCGCCCCCGTGAGAGGAGGTCACCGATAGAGATGATCGACGTGCCGTGGACTCGATCGCTGGACGGAATGTATTATACCTATACCTTGTTAGGAAAATGACCGGAGACATAAGGGAAAGAAACGCGATACGCAGGTTCGTTAGAATCATCAGGCGTCGTTCAACGCAAGTCACTTGCTCGAGTTCGAGTAGAGTTTTCGAAATTTCCCTTTCCTCTTCTCGATTTTCTGCATTACTAAACTTCGAAACTGTACACCTTCTTTGTCATCCGGTAAAGTACGTCACGCGTCTATGATTCTGCTCTGTCAAATATGTAACACACTCCGGGGAGCAATGTCCCCGTCTCGGGAGTGCCTACGCGAATATAATGAAATCTGATTTAAGATATTAATAATTTCCTAACGTTTCAAGGGCGTGTCCACACGTGTAACGCTCGCTGAGATTACCGGGTCAATATGGGTTAAATGCGAGGGTCAATAGGGTACGCGGTGACGGATTCGACCAGGACAAAGCGGCATAAAGTTAAAGGCGTTGAGAAGCAAAAAAAAAAAAGAAAAAGAAAAATGACAAGAGTAGATAAAATGGAGAGAGATTTATTACGTTCTAGAGATGACTCTATCCGAAACGAAATAAGAAACTGCGTAGAAAAAAAAGATTTCATATAGCACATTTGACTTCATCTTTGCCTGTTTTTCTTCTTTCGCGTTTTTCTGCACACGTGTATAATTTATTCTTCGTAACATAACATTCTCTCTCATACTTTTCAGGTAACATAAAAAAAATGTATTTTATCGTTATTATTAGAATACGCTGACGAAGCGCGCGTTGTCCCGTGCAAGAAAATAGAGTCGACGATCGCCATTAAAATTCAAATACGCGGGAACAGCCACGGGCGAATTAGCAAATAATAAGATACTAAAATAACAAAGAGAGACAAGAAGCAGAGGTGGGCGAAAGAAACAAAGTATGCTCGATAGGAATTCATCGTGATTTACGGTCGCTCGTAATAATCGCGAGGATTACGCAAGCGCCAGCCAGGCGTGTCGCCCGCGCCAGGCAGCTTCGAGGTCGTAACTCTCAACCGGTTTGAGGCGGACCCTCTCCCGCCCGGATGATGACGGTTATCGTCGCTAGCATCGACGCGATTGGGATTTTCGGGCAGCATCATTACGATGACGATGCCGCTGTTGCAATCAGTGACGACGCGTTATCAATCGCGGGCGTGTGAGGGAGATTCAGGTGAACGAGAAGCGACCGTAATTCCAAAAATGCAGTAAAATTGAAGAGATTCAAGCTGATTTCTTCATCAGAAATTTAATTAAGGACGTAATAAAATCGCGATCATAATTTTTGTATTAATTTAAAATACGTAGCAAAAATTCGATTGCATTCCGTCTATTTTTTAACTTCTTAATTGTTTCACACTTTTAAAGATTTAATTTTATATAAATCAAGCTTCCCTCGATTACATAATTAGATATAAGCAGAATTTTTTTCAAACTTTGGATTATATATAACTTTAAGTTAATATCTAGACAACTTCCGCAGGCTAGAACGAAGAGTGAAACTTCGCGATCTATTTAATTCGCTTGGAAAATTTAAATCGCGCTTTTCACGAAATTGACTTGAGAAGTTGATTAATCGACAAGATTGAACTTACCCGTCGACGCTGCCGTGATCCCTTATAATAGCTGCCGCGACATCCCTCTTGAGACCGCCGTGGAACCAAGGCTGAAGAACATGTATACCGGCGTCGAGGCCGTGCAGCCTCATCATGGCGCAGCCCGGTGGTGTTCGTGAAAACGGTCGCCATCTCCGTCGCCAGACCATGCCTTCGTTTTCGGCTATGTCCTTGGCTTCCTTGGGATCCTCGACTATCCTGCCCACGCTACCGGTAAAATCCATCGCCACGCGTGATCGTATCGATTCCTGCAAGAAAAAAGAAAATCGATCGTTCGTAAATTCATCTTACATTGTTACCTTCGAAAGCTAAATCTTAAACCAAAATTCCACTTAAAATCTTCGATTCAATCAATTGAGAAAGGTTTCATTTCCTATTAGCAATTCTGAAAATTATTATATATAATTGTACACGTGATTATTCATTCTTAATCTGTAATTAATCTGTAATTATTCTTCGTAATCTGTTAGGAAAAATTTTTTATTTAAAAAAAAAGAACCGCTGCACTTTTTCAAAGGGAGTTTATCATCACGTGGATATACATGGATATTTTTCCAGTGAACGATGCGACGCACCGAAGTTTTAGCGTGTTCAATGATCCCGGGATAAATACGTCCATCTATATCCCGGGTATGAACGTGAGTTTGAGCGTTTCGACGTTCATCTCTTGGCAAACGGAAGCCCGTCCTTTACGAGTGAGCACGATGAAGGGAGCGAGCCGTTCCGGGCTGCCGCCGAACGCTTTTATTTGGGATTAGAAGCGCGGGTGGTTTCCAGTCCGGTAAATAACTCGTCCTGCAAGCGAGAGAAAGAAGAAAGGAGAGAGCGGAATTTCTTCCTGTTTCCATCCCGCTCCCGCTCCCGGTGGTGATCCACGGGCGAGTAAAACCGCGCCCCGCGAATCCCCCGTAAAATTATGGCCCGAATGCGATACAGCCGGTAACAATCGCGAACGATAACTCATCGCCGCGCCGCCTCTCCGGCAATAATTTTCACCGCGGACTCCCTCTTTCCGCGAACCGCGGATTCCACAATCGGCGATAAAGAACACACCGATGTCGAAACGAGAGTCTCGATATCGCGCGAGATGATCGCAATGGTATCGTGGCGGAACACCTGGAGATTGTAACACCTTTGGATACAATAATGGAGTGTGATTGAGATCCCATAGATTTCCGCATCAGCCCACAATTTCTAGCATTCGGATATATATGTGTTCCACAAATCCACATTTCGATTTTGAAATTGTAGCTCGGGCACCTGTCTGATATCTAATTTCACAGTGCCGATCAAAGCGATAAGTGTATCTCGGGCATCTATATTCTGAAATTTTAGACGTAGTAGATTATATCCGGATATCTGAACGCTGACGCTATATTGGAAGCTCGGTGTGGACGTATCCCGAAGGATAATTTGCGTCGTCGCATAAGCAACCCCCGCTATCCCCTCGCTCTTCAGGTCCTTGATAACGAGCAAAAAGCCGGAGCGCACGTAGTGGATTAGTCGGTCGTTAAAATAAATAGACGCTCGCGGCGCGAGTACGTACGAGGGAGAGAATTACGGAAGAGAGAGAAAGAGAGAGATATATATATAGATATATATATAGGAGGAGGAGGGGTTCAGCGTTCCTCATCAGCCGGAGAATTACCGTAGAGCGAGAACTCGAGGGTGCTTTCAGGAGCCCCCGGAAACCGGGAAAGCCGGTGCGGCCCCGAGCATACGCCCGTAACCGTGGCCGGCCGCGATCGATGTTCAACCAGCTCTCTCCAGTTCGGCTTGCCTCCTTCTCTAAACCGTTACGCGTCCCCTCTCGCTCTCCGGAGAGGGAGAGAACAGAGAAAGATAGGAGTATCTTCGCGATAGGCTTTCGTCCTGGTGTGGCCTTGACACCGGAGTGACCTGATATGCCCCGGCAATTTAGAAACTGCCTTCCAAGACACACTGAAGAGAAACAATCGTCCATCTCATGTATGGAATATCTTCCTCGTTATTACTCTTTATGATTTAATAATATAATATATAATTATATTACGTACATGATATAATAATAATAATAATAATAATGTAATACACATATCTGAACAAAACATACAAAATGTACATATTTTTTAATATATATTTTTTATTTTTAATGCTTTTTCCTACATGAGTTCCGCAGAAGAAATTCATCCTAAAATACCGGCCGTCACTATTTCATTCGTTCCCTCGCGTTATTGACATTAAAGAGTAATAAAGGAGGTGAAAGGTGTTGGATATCGTAGGTGTACAACAGGAAGTTAATAACGACGTGTACTATCAGGAGGGCTTCCGCAGGTAAATTGATTTTTAAACGGTGCACTGAGCGATATCAGGACGAACGTTTAGCGGCGTTAAAGCCTGGCGGCGCAACCCAGACCAATCTAAGTCCGGCCACGTGTATATAATATTTTAAGGGATGTCCGACGAGCGAAGTTAACGTGGCGAGCTTCCCGGGTTCCGGGTGAGTTTACTACTTCCGGCCTAACTTCGTCGGTTTAAACACATAGAGGAGAGCGAGCGAGTGGGAGGGAGAGAGAGAGAGAGAGAGAGAGAGAGAGAAAGAGCGAGGTAGAGCTTTCTCTGGCTCGGCCAAGCTTCCTCGTCGTGTTTTATCGTTATTACAAGCTCCTTCGAAGTTTACGACTCTGTGCAGCGGATAACGTTCTCCGCCCTTCCTCCCTCTTATCCTCGTCAACCCCCCATCCCCCTCATCGTTCGATCAACCTTTACACGAAGCGCTAGCCGTCGGAAATGACGCGTCCTGGTTGCACGACCACCGCCCGTTCCGTGGCACATCCGCCCTCGTAAAGGAATTTCGTTACGTCGCTTATGGAAAGTCGACGTCACTTCGAAAAGACATAAAAATCGTCACTGCATCGACAAGCTATATTATGAGCTCTTCGCACAACTAGACCTCGATGTTAATCTTGACAGTTAAATCTCGAGTTTGAATTCTGTTGGAGCGTTATTTAAAAATAAGTGAGAAATAAAGATTCGTTGTCTACGCATATTCCCAAAACTTTTTCGATTCTTGCATAAAAAATTGTGAAACACATCGTACAATAATGGTATTGAGAAAGCAACATGATAATTTCGAATAATTATACGTTGGAGAAAAAAAATGCAGACGTGATGCTTTGTAAGCATCGCAATTTTGTAAATTTTAACAAGAATTATAAAATAATTAGTATTGATGGGTATCGCGTAATGATAGCGGTATATCGGGAATTAATGCGATTGAGATAAACTCATCATAAAAGCTGCAACATCACATACCGGATTTCACGCCGATTCATTTCACGGTGTATCTAAAATCATCCTCGAGAGATACTCGAGATCACCACTTTCCCCTCATAACGAAATTTCGCTGACTCGCAAGATCACCGGTGGTTTCGTGCGTGAATACTCTTACCTGGAGTACCACTCCGTCGTATTATTTCGCTTTACGACATTTTAAATCGTCGCCAATATAACGGTGATATTGTGAAATTGCGAGGCGATATTGTACGTCGCGACAGCGACGCGCGTGTATGCGCTTCTCAGAATATCACGTGTGTGCTCCGCTGGCGATTGGATTTCCCCTCGCCCCTCCCCTATCTCTCCTTCGCTCCTCGTCGCTGTTTCGGCAGCATTTCGCGACTCCCTCGTTATCGTGGATGCCTAACGTTGTTTTACGACCGATAAAAGCATCCCTCGCTCGTCTGCTGGTAGCGTATCGTTTTACCCGGGGCTGCGTGGCTGCTAGCTGTCACGTAGTGTCTACCGAGCGGATATGAGAAATCAGCCTTTGCAAATGAGATAAATTCTGCCCGGTTAATTATCCTCGCGATTTCGCAATTCGTCGCGCGTGTCTTATGTAAGTCAGTGAAAATAAAATGACGTATACCTATACATATATCCTAGCCAGATATCACAAATAATTATTTTGCGCAATATAAAATTTTTTATTTGACACAGTCGAGAACATACTGCAGTAACTAAAATTTTATGTCAAAGGCTGTAAATAAATATTTCCCAAATTATCTTATTTTCTTTTCAATCGTCATTATTTCTTCTCTCGTTCAAATAATGTATTGTATTTATATGTATTGATGGCCATTATTATTGTATTTATATATGTATTGATGGCCCATATATAATATGTATACATATTGCTTTTTTTTAGAGGCTGTAATCTCTCAGATGATCGAGAATTACAACGCGAAAAAGTGCGAATCTGCGTCTTTTTCTACTTGTAACTTCGATCTTCACTGCGGGACGGCCTGGCAGTCGCCGATTAGAGACGCATCGACCGATCAATAGTCGTTCTTTCCGCGTGTTACTGGGTTACTATCTCGCCTCGTGGTCATGCGATAGCGTAATGCGTCGAGAGCGTAGTTGGAGACGAGCGCAAAACGCCTCATAAAGCCGAGTTTTTAACGTGATATATTTAATCACAGCGAGATTCAAAGCTCCATAATAAGATATTAAAATATTTTGTCGAAAATTGATTCTTCAAAATTCAAAAAATCTGACCAATTAAAATTATGGTTAGTTGTTGTTGGAGGCACACAACGGATTTCCAATGAAATCGTATGTGCGCAATATTAATTAATATCGCGTCTCGTGCTTGCAGTATAAAGACAAAAGTAGGAGGGGATAAGTGCACATTCTTGTCCATCGAAGCTTTCACGAATACGCGGTGTCCCGCGAATGTCGCGAGTTCATATACGAGTCTTGCATGGTAACGCGGAGGGTCAACCACGGTCGAAGATAAAGCCGTCAAAGGAGGGGGCGGGGGGGGGGAAGGAGAAGTGGGAGATTGTACCTGGAGACCCCGCGAGTCGCGCGCGATATCGATCCCACCGGCGACCGGCCGTATCGCTATCGGCCACGTGGACACGTTGGTTGCACCGGCCGGAGAGATAAAAGGATTCCTTCGAAGCGCATGCGGAACTATGTGTGCGGAAAACTTTCGCGTTGGTTTCCATTATATTTACTCGGAAAACATCGGCTGGCCGGACGACCGACCGGTCGGCTGGTCGTTCGCTCGGCATCGCCGCGCGCGAGAGATACGCGGGGAAGGGTTTATCGAGGCTATTTCCGGTAGTACACTGCGGGGGTTTATCGCTACGCCACCACCTCTCCTCGCCCTATCGAGAGCGATGCGAGAGACGTTCGGACTAATATTTTGCAGAAAATAAAACAAAGCCGCGGCATGATGCTCCCGCATTTATTTATACAAGCTTAA